TATTTTCAAGCTGTCCAGTTAATTATTTCATTTGGAACTTTGTTCGTCAAACTCTAACGACAGATAAAACTATGCACAGAATCTTGTACCTCATACACAGCTTTTAGCCGCAACCATTAATAACGGAGGTGGTGAAAGCAAATATGAAGCGTCTGAACTGGATACACGTTTTCAATAGTTGACTGCTGTTTGAAAATCTTTACAAGCACTACATTATCGACCTCTCAGTGTTATCTACCTATCCATCGCATCGTCGTTCACTGACTTGAGCAAGCAGAGGCGATTAATAGATGCCTATATCGATGCCGAAATGCGACAAGCACCTCGACTGAACACTGAATGTCACTGTTTTCCCACAAGCACTTTCTACTGCGCTGAGCTTCAATACTGCTAAGAGTACTGGCTGCATGAGAAACTATATTAGACAAGGTTTCATCATATCTTCATATAAACTTATCAGATAAGCTTTATAAGGACGGAGATTCGGTGTGAAGTCAAAAGGTATCCAACAAAATTATTATTTTCATGTAACAATCTAAAACCTAAAATGAGAACGCGAAATCCCCTATATCTGAAGCCAGCGGCTTAAGGCGATGATTTTATATCTATGTGCCGCTGATCAATTGTGACCAGTTTTTACTTCCATTGATATTCTATAACTCCTTATTTTAGACATGCTGAAAACTTAAAAAAGTGGGACACAACTTGGGAGAAATCACTCGGGTTATTTTTCGTGCACAAATTTAACCCCTGTGAATTTCTCTTGCAACTCAAGAAAATGTAGATGAATTCTGCTGGATTTTTCTTCCAATGAGCTTGCATCATCAATTTCTTTTCGGAAGGCTTATATACACCATAATTATAATGTCTGGATTCAACATAGAACTTGGCACCGAAGTGCAGCAGTTCGAGTTGCCACGTTCCAAATAGCACACAGAGGTAGACAAGAAGATGAGTGAAGAGAATTAATAGAGTTTGACAAATATAAGAGTGAAACAGAATGGGTAATGGTAGAAAGGAATATGAAAGATTACAGAGATTGAATACATCTGCGCCATTGACAACGATTTTGAGCCATGTCACCTATTGTCTCCAGCCATTGATTCCTAGAGTCCCGAGGGCCCCAACCCGGGAGTCTGCATCTCCCTACCTGACTCAGTTTAACTGTCAAGGATTTCATGGATTGATGCCATGTTTTTGTTTGGCCACCACTGGCTCTTTTCCAACCTGAACCTATATCAGCTAACAATGCCCGTCGGGGGAGGCGGTGGTTAGGCATGCGCAGCACGTGACCTAGCCATCTTAGTCTATGTAACTTTATAACCTCGTCGATTGATTTTCCCTCTTTGCCCAACACTCTACGCCTAACGTCAACATTACTTATCTTGTGAAACCACCTAACGTGAGACAGAGATCGCAGACATCTATGATCGAAAGCAGTCAACCTTTTCATGTCTTCAACGCGTATTGGCCATGTTTCAGAGCCATAGAGAAGGACGGAGCGAACTGATGAGCAGTACACACGTCCCTTGGTTGATAACCGGATGTCACGCCTACGCCAGAGATGGTGTAAGTCAGCGAAAGCAGCTCGAGCTTTTCGGATCCGTGCTGAGATTTCATCGCCAATCAGTCCGTTGGTGCTAATACAACTTCCCAAGTAGGTGAAGTGGTCAACATGTTCTATCACTTCACTCCCTATCACTAAGTTAGGGGTTGACGTCGTCCAGTCCTGTAGCAGCATCTTACATTTTGCAGGGGCGAATCGCATGCCAAACATACGAAGATTGCTGCTCAAGGTGTTCAGAAGACTCTGCATTTTGTCAGCATCCTCCCCTAACAGGACTATGTCATCTGCATATTCTAAGTCCATTAGATTATTCCCTGGTAACAAGTCGATTCCTAAGTCACTACGTTCAGTTAAGGATACTTCCATTAGCATATCTATGATGAAGTTAAACAGAAATGGGGAAAGTGGACATCCCTGTCGGACACCACTGGTTGTTACTAATTCAGATGACAATTCCCCATAAGCCCTTACACGACTACGTGAGTTTGAATAGAGTGCCTTGATTAGTGCAATGTACTTTCTTGGCACTCCCTTCACAGTCAGACATTGCCATAGTACTTTTCGGTCCACGGAGTCGAAGGCCGCCTTCAAGTCAAGAAATATGACAATTGTTGGACGCCGAAAAGTGTGTCTATGTTCTAGAATCTGTCGAAGAGTGAAGATATGATCTATGCACCCTCTACCTGGTCTAAAGCCTGCTTGATTTTCCCTTGTCTGTTCCTCCCGAGTTCTGCTTAGTCTATGCATGATTACTGAGCCTAGGATTTTAGAGACTATGTTCGTTAGGCTGATCCCCCTATGATTATCACACGAGGACTTGTTTCCCTTCTTGAATATCGGTATAATGAGTGACTTACCCCAGTCTGATGGTACTGTCTCTGATTCCCAGACTTTGCCTAGTACCTCAGTTAATCTACAAACTAGTATGTCACCCCCATATTTAAACACCTCCGGAATAATTCCGTCGGGTCCTGCCGCTTTGCCTCGTTTCAAATTACTGATAGCTTTTGTAACCTCACCTACAGACGGCGGACCAGTGTCTATATCCCATTCGGGTACGTGGTGGATGGCGGGGAGGTTCGGAAGGCTTATATACACCATAATTATAATAGGCAGCTGTTTGTTTTACAGTTGCTTTTTAGGCCATCAGATTCTCACCGAATTTCTAAACGAAAATTATTGGTGCTGATTATGCATACGGTCAGGCTCAGATGTCATTTTCTCTCCATTTACATGCTGATAGATATGCACAGTCCCAGAGTTGAAAGTCAGGTAAGCTATTAACATTTTTCCCAAAGAACCTACGATGTCCTACACACCGGTTACACTACTCTTCTTTATGTTATCACAGTTTACAGGTTAAGAAGGGTCATGATCAATTCAATACTAGTGTATATCATTTCGTTCAATACTTTTCACGTGTTATGAAACAACAGTACACCCAGACTCTACAAATAAATGAAAGTAGGATATGAACATTTGTACGAGAATTAACTTGCAGGGTATTAGTTATGACATTCATTAAATAAAGTATGCCAACCTCGCTAAATTTAATATGCCTAATTATTTTGGCGATCAGTACACTACCTGACTTGTGAGCACCCATAACAAAACACAAATCCAAATGGTCCAGTTATTTTGAGATGTGTTCTGATGAGCAGTATATCTAAATACAAAAGAAAGTTAAGGTTATTTAGGAAAAACATTTTAGGACTCATCCAGCTACTGTAACTGAACTATGGACTCTGAGTGTAGGTGCATTGACAAGACAATGAGGGACGGCAGAAATGGCATCCCAATATGACCGTTAGAACAAAACTTTATATATCCAGAATACTAAAACTAACTGTAATTTCATATTTACTCAAGGTGATTACTCAACAAATTTCTTCAAGGCAGTAACCATTCAACTTGTGCATTTATAAAGTTATTCTTAACAGTGATAGAAAGTGGTTATTTCTTAAGGTGTTGTTTAGTTTAAAATTGTCATTCCACACCTATTACTTGACCTCATTCACAACCACCTGGTTTTAATGATTTCCAGTCATCTAGAAGTCTACATGTGCTGTCAATTGCATAAAATCTCTATTTCAAGTGAGACTTCGATCGGAAACTTTTGGTACATTTGTGTGGCTTTCATATATGGGTCAATAGACTGGATAATACTCCATGTATGTATACTGTCTTCTAATTTTCCGTATATTTGATTAGGCATCATCACCAATGCTCCCTATCTTCTAATTAATTAGTTCTGAGATATGAAAATAGTCTTAAGTTGCATTCAGGTAACAGAAAATCACAGTATAAGCTATGGAAAAATTCAGATTCTTGCACTCGATGGTCAGAGACTGGAGTTGAACACCAACCGACGCTGGGTCGACATGGAGACACCTAATGCAGGCAATGACAAGGCACGTTCAGTTTTATAATTTCTATCCCCGAAGATTGATATAGTATTATTCTACTCAATTGGCTGTTCAAATTTGTAAAGAAGGCGTAAGTAATATTGTCGAGTAGCCAGCTTCAATCTTTGTTTTACTAATTTCTACGTGGTTAATGTTGCATTTAATTTATGTTTCTAACTACTGAATTAAACTTTTACATCACACTATGTACTAACACTCGCTTACTTTTAGAGTATTTTCAACCACATGTAATGCATAGGCGAAAGACAATGCAAACACAAAGTGTAGTGGCATTCAATAACTCTACACGAAACACCGATTTGCATGTGCAAGTGAAAGCCAAACTTGTATCCTTATGTGAAGTAAAATGGTTATAAAATTTCTGAACCATTCTGTACTTGGAAACGCTCTGCCTGAACATGAACACACCTTAAACCCTACAGAGAAAATAAATAAATACTCACTCAAGAGTTTGAACATTTCAAAACCACCCACATATATATATATATATATATATATATATATATATATATATATACCAAAATTGTTAAGTAATTTATTTGAGAATATTTTTAGATGTGAACATAAAAACAATCTCGATAAAGTTACCACTCATCTTCTTGTCTACCTCTGTGTGCTATTTGGAAGGTGGCAACTCGAACTGCTGCACTTCGGTGCCAAGTTCTATGTTGAATCCAGACAGACAGACAGACCGAAACTGTGACCAATTTAAGAAGTGAAAACCAACACACTAATCGAACCGAATAAAATTACAATGTATGAATAGAGTTTTAAAATACTTCACTGATTTTCCTTTTCTTTCAACCTAGGAAAATGATAGGGAGAACGACCAATAAAAAAAAAGTGGAAAAAATCAAGAAGAAGAAGAAAATAATCTCTTTTCAAGCGAAGAAGATCAAGTAATAGGATTTAGATAAAAAAAAAAGAAATTGACAATATTTTCGTGAGTAAAAGCGTAAATGAGTAAAGTACCTGTTATCCCGCTACCAATATATATATATATATATATATATATATATATATATATATAAGTGATGACAGTGGTAAAGATGAGAGTTATAATGATCAATGGAGTTATTTTAGCACTAGTAGTGGACAAAAATACACATGCTTACATATACAACAACATCAACAACAGAAAAAATACATAATTAAGAAGGAATACAACAATACTTAAAATACACATATGAGATGATCAGAGATACATCGAATTGTACACATAACTCCACACATACATAATATGACAGAAATACGATGATGACCACCATTGGAAGAAGAAGAAGAGAAAGAAAAACACAAGAAAGTCATGATTTTCTTCCGTTTTTTCTTTTTAAAAAAAGGTATATTTCACTAACAACCGTTAACTATTTTAAAAACTACAACGACTATCAAAACAGATAATGCTTAAAAGAGAATATACGATTGAGCACTTTTAGTGGTGGTAGTATGGTGATGACAATGAGGAAATTGGGAATGATCATGTGTGTGTGTGTATGCGTCAGACAGACGAGAAGGCCATTGTTTTACAACACTATCATAGTTTGATAGTTTCTTTTTTCTGATAACTCTTTTCAATGTATTGCTTTTTACACAAATAAGTAACATGTTTAGCAAACGCATAACGAATATATGAAAGTAAAGGTAGAGTAAAAATAAGAGGAAAAAGTAGGGCTGAAGATGCAAGAAAGGAGAAAGAAACGTTGATTTAGACAAGAAAAAGTGTAAATATAGCCCATAAATTGGAAAATATGGCAAGTTAGTTGTATTCAAAAAGGATAAGTACATAGGTGAGACAAATAGACGAATAAATTGTATATATAAGTTAGTAAAAGTAATTAATACGAAAACGATAACGACGAAGACAATGACAACAACAATAATCGTAAGAGAAAAAAAGGCTATAGACAGAAAAAGAAATCGATGGGGATAAGGGAATGGAGCAATAAACACAACAACAACAAGAAAAAAAGAAGGAAGAAGAGTCTATGCCGATCTCTTCAAATCAGCTGTTTGTATACCAGCAAGTATACGCTGCCATAAAGCTGGACTACACTTTGGATGACGACGAATACGAGTGAGTAAATTATTCCAATGTAATCCACAATCAATAGCTGGCATACTTAAATGAACATTATATGCTTTTAAAACAAGATCAACGAATTCATCCCATTCAGCTTGACTTTGTCCAATAAACTGAAGTCTTTGACCAATGTACTTTTGAAATCTATGTTAAAAGCAAACAACAGTAATAATAATGATGAGAATATTTAATTGTCTAATAATAAGTGGGTAATCAACCAAAATATATTGTGAGAAATAATTTCAACTACCAGATCAATGGTTCGAACTCCATATCCCTGTCAAATGCATGCACAGCTTGTTGTTCACTAAAAATTTCACTTCATATCATCTCCTTTGTATCATCCTTACAGGTATTCAATTTAATTAAGACTACACGCATATTACATCACCATTAAAACAAATGTCTAGTGTAAATCACACATGTCGATTTCTTTGACTGAAAACAAGGTATGACATTCACTGACACGGCATTATGATGACGCCATATGTGTTTAGATAGACAGTTTTAAAAGAATTCATGCAAAATATACTATGTCTACTTTTTAGAATCACATCAAGAAAAAATAAAAGATGTGATGTAACTTTATCGACTACATAAACCCCGAAATATTATAAGTTTATACAAATCGTCTATAGGTATGAATAAACGCAGTCCAAAAACTCCCTGGGATTTGAAAGAGGTCACTTCATTCACTTATCTAGGGAGCATTGTCCCAACTACAGTAAGTCGGAACGGACGAGGATGTCAAATCGAGCGAGAATCGGGAAGGTGTGAAACACATTCATCAACCTGAAACCAATCTGGAAATCTTCGTCACTCAGCATCAACAGCAAAATTCGGTCATATTTTCAATACAAACGTCAAGTCAGTCAGTTCTTCTATACGGATCAAAAACCTAGTGGGCCGGTCACAAAGAATATTCCCAACAGCCTGTTTCAGACCTTTATCACCAACTGTCTTCGCTCTATACTGGAGATGAGATGGCCGGGTCGGAAAGAATCACCAACAAGAAACTATGGAAGAAACAAGAGAAGAACCAATGGTCAACCTACAAATATGCGGGAGAAAATGGATTGAGATGGATTGGACACTCGCTGAGGAGGCCACCGCTGGGTGAAATCGCGCGCGCGTCAAGCCGTCGCTCGAGTGGAACCCGAAAGGGAAGCGGCGAGTAAGACGTCAGTGTAAGGGTGACATGGAGGAGATCGTGTGAAGAGGAGTTGAAACAGTATGGACTAAGGTGGATGCAGGTGAAAAGTACAGTAGAAGACAGAAGTGGCAAGTGGAGACGTGCAGGTGAAGCCCTATATTCCACTAGGAACCCAAGGGAACAGTAATAATAAATAAATAACGACTCCCTACTTCATTCATTTCTCCATTATATATATAGTCCATATATATGCAAGATTGATGACAGATTGATACAATACTGCTTCACACTATTGTTTAGACATTTTTTTAAAAACTGGACTAACTTAGGACTCAGTTTATTCAGAAACGATTTTTCCCCATGTTACGGGCTAAGTATAGATCCACACTTATTGTATTATGAACGATGATGACACTCTACCAGCAAATCACTCAGACTGACAAACACACATGTAGGTGGAATGAATCTCGAATCCTTCATACCACCACCAATGACTGAGAATCATGTGCTAAAGGTACAACACTTGCAAGTGGTTATAAATATGCGTGACTGATTACCTGATCATAGAAAACGCGGATGAAAAATATACAATATATAGAAAATAAGTTATTCAGGAAACACATAAACACATAGAAGAAATATTAGAGAATAATCCATACAGCTATCCCAAGTAAAATACTACTTAGTTTACACTTCTAAAATCGATTAAAATACCGAATGACCAGGTAGATAAGATTATGTTCATATTTGTTTACAACACATACACCGAAGATTAGTAGTTTATGAACACACGGTGTTAGTTCTCGAGATAATGTGTATTATTTATTATGATTGTACCCTTGGGTTCCTAGTGGAATATAGGGCTTCACCTGCACGTCTCCACTTGCCACTTCTGTCTTCTACTGTACTTTTCACCTGCATCCACCTTAGTCCATACTGTTTCAACTCCTCTTCACACGATCTCCTCCATGTCACCCTTACACTGACGTCTTACTCGCCGCTTCCCTTTCGGGTTCCACTCGAGCGACGGCTTGACGCGCGCGCGATTTCACCCAGCGGTGGCCTCCTCAGCGAGTGTCCAATCCATCTCAATCCATTTTCTCCCGCATATTTGTAGGTTGACCATTGGTTCTTCTCTTGTTTCTTCCCATAGTTTCTTGTTGGTGATTCTTTCCGACCCGGCCATCTCATCTCCAGTATAGAGCGAAGACAGTTGGTGATAAAGGTCTGAAACAGGCTGTTGCGAATATTCTTTGTGACCGGCCCACTAGGTTTTTGATCCGTATAGAAGAACTGACTGACTTGACGTTTGTATTGAAAATATGACCGAATTTTGCTGTTGATGCTGAGTGACGAAGATTTCCAGATTGGTTTCAGGTTGATGAATGTGTTTCACACCTTCCCGATTCTCGCTCGATTTGACATCCTCGTCCGTTCCGACTTACTGTAGTTGGGACAATGCTCCTAGATAAGTGAATGAAGTAACATCTTTCAAATCCCTCCTGTTGATCGTAATTGGCGCTGGATGTTGCTGCTGTCGTTGTTGGTTGGTTGGTTATTTTCATAACCTCCGTCTTGTCTATGTTCGGCTGGAGTCCTGTCTTTGCTGCTTCTTCAACCAGTTTGTCGGTTTTCGCTCGCTTGTAAGTCTTCGATTTTGTGTGACATCAAACATAAATCATCCACAAGCGAAATCCAGGTCTTCTAGGTTCTTCACGTCAGTCCAGGATATTCCTGTCTTCTCGTTTCCCACAGTCCGACGCATAATCCAATCCACCACAATTAGGAATATCATTGGTGATAGTAAACCAGCACCCTTGTCTGACTCATGTGTTTACTCCAAACGCCTCGCTCAGTTTTCCGTTGTGGATCACTTGACATGCGCCGTTGTCGTACAGCTGTTGAATAAGGTTGATGAATGTTTGGGCTACGCCGTAGTACTTGAGTAGTTTCCAAATTACTTCACGATCAATGCTGTCGAAGGCCTTCTCAAAGTCTATAAAGTTGAGGTAGAGGTTTGATTGCCATTCCATGCTTTGTTCCGTGATGATGACGCGTAGGGTTGCAATTTGGTCAGTACATGATTTGCCTTTCGTGAATCCAGCTTGTTCTTGTGGTTGGCGGAGTTCTGTCTCCAGTGCGTCCTTTAATCTCTCCAGGATGATGTGTAGGTGTATGCATATAGATATAATAAGCAAGTGAATGAGTTCATCCCATAAAATGACCGATTAAATGATATCGACAGAAAACTTTTAGTGTTGTTTTGGAGTTTAATAATCAAAAAGAATAAGTAAATAAACAAATAGATACCAAACTGACTGAAATGGCATCTTCTTGATACCTCATCTACTTACAAAGTTTTGGAGTTTATCAGCATTAAACGTCAAGATCAGTTGTTTTTTTTATTCATTGGCGTTCCTAGTGGAACATAGGGCTTCAACTGCACGTCTCCACTTGCCACTTCTGTCTTCTACTGTACTTTTCCCTGCATCCATCTTAGTCCATACTGTTTCAAGTGTGCGGCTACAAACTTGACCAGTGAAGTTATTTTTCTAAAGGGGTGGGGTCGCTAGGGTCACACCCGACCTTCCTTGATTACTGAGCTTGCTACCAACTATTTGGCTACCCGAGGTTCACGAGTACATCGATCGGCAGTTGAACCCCACCAGACGACGTGTGTGGTCGGTCGGCCGGCATTCTGCCACTGAACCACAGACGCAGTTAGCCTAGTTTATTACTTAAAGGCATACTACAAAAGAGCACGAAGAATGATGCATTTCTTGTTAATTTAAATTCAGTGTAAATAGCAAAGAAATTCTCACAGACAGCATGATGATATGATATGCTACTGGTTGATATGAGCAGATGACAACCAATCAGAACAACTAATGGTTCTTGCTAGCCAAATCGAAGCGAGATCTAAATACTGGACGGCTAAAGTGTTTGTTTACAGCTGATTTCGTCAGCAGTGTATCCGATTACACTCAGTTTAGATAGTCGAATCAATTCGGATAACTAGAATTATATTCTATCTATCTACTTTATTAAAATGCCATAAATATAAATCGTGTGTAAACAACTGTCTTTTACCAGTGATATGTATTTTTCCACCATGTTTTATTCAATTTACAATTCTGAAAAATATAATTATTACCTACTGTGTTTCTAAATTGATAAACATCATCATCATCACCAGGATGAAATTCACTATAGTAACACACCAGTACTTAATTTGCTGCTTGGGAATGGAATTTTAGGAGAGACAGAGAGATGGAAGGGGGAAATGGTAACTTTTAAAACTCATGGAAACATATTGAAATTATAATTAATTTGTAACAATGTTATGCATAATGAAAACTGTTGAAATTCATACGTTATTTCGCCGGCAAATGTCTCTATATTATCACACAGATTTGAAATGTAAATTTTAATTACTGAAATAAGCCAATGTTTCACTTAAGGGAAACTTGTATAACAGATACGCACACGCACACACACACACACACACACACACGCAGAGCTATATATTATGTATAATCACATTCCCATCCCATAAATCATATGTGTACAGCAGAAATCCTATTTGAGAACTGATTAGTTTTCATTGAAAAAAAAGAAAAACGAAATCTTCCCAAGCGATGTAATTTAACTCATTGAAATGTACATAATCCACTTTCTTCACTTTTAAAGAATTTCGAAATAGATAGCTAATCGTCTTTATTATCTCCACAGTTTGAGAATCGCCTACATTGTATATAAAACATAAGTATCTGTTAGGATTATTCCTTGAAATTATTTATAAAATACCTAGAAGAGCAAAATTGAAGAGTATTACAGTGGAAGTGAAAGTTTAATTGGAACTGAACTGAATCCTTGAGGTTTTAAGCAAATTTATTTGTAGAAGATAGAAACCCACCTGTCATCAAAACTTTTCTAATCTAATTTAATAAATTCTACTTCATTACATCAAAAAAAAGAAGAAGACAGAAATGATGATCACAAAGGAACTCTTTGTTGAGATACGGGGATAAGAATTCACAAGTTTGATTCTAAGTTGAAAGATGTTGGTGTCATTGTTATAACTCATTTGTCCAGGCGAATTTTATACTCTTGTATCGAAATATAAGCCACATAGACTTGTTGAGAGATTCCTAACGATACACACCCCAGTCGCCCAAGCTGAAGAGCAGTCGGAGCAGACCGGCTGGGTGAAATCGATTGCTTATACCAACTTTCAACCTATAGCACGTCGCAGAACTGAAAGTGAACTTCACATATTGAACGTGATTGTTTCAAATATTTTAGTTGAGTGTAGGGTATATTATTACTAAATACAGTAACAATTATATGTTGATTGGTGGCCATTAAGAGTTTATAAAACAGTCGTACCACAGATTAACAATAACACCAATCACAGCGGCGTTGACAAACAGATAACTTTAGACATTTGTGTCAATCTACTTCTTGAGCTTGTCATCGGAAATTAATTAATTTAAACTCTATGAAATATAAAGGTGTGTAAAATGAAGTTTCAATCAAGTATGCATTTATGAGTGCTTTCCCTAAGAAGAATCACACAAGTTCTGCAAGAAAGTATATGAAGTTTAATAATCTTGTAGATGATAGCAACTTGTAAGCAATGTCTCTTGAAAGTAAAGTTATTATACTTTCAGGGAAAAATTAGTCAAAACAATAACTTACAAAGTATGCGTTTGATTGATTAAATTCTCTACAACATCTCTACCAGTAAATTCATTTGCATTTGACTTTGTTTGTTCATCAGTCCCAGTGTAATTAGTAGTATGAGATGAAGTGGTTGCAGCCGGTGGTGTAACTGAATTCATGTATGCATAAGTTTGAAGGAAAGGACGAATGTACGGTTGCGCATTCATTTGCCATTGTATTGGCGTTTGATAAGGTGGTCGGTTTAATGGATGCCCTAAATTAGTTGGTTTGTTAGAATTAATATAAGAATTAGAATTTATATTCAGTTCAGAATTTAAATTCATTTGTTGAAATTGACAAATATTTTCTTGTAACTGATTTGAATATAAATTTTGTTGTAATACAGGGTAATTCATAGGTCCAGTAGGATGTGACCACGGTATATTTGACGGGTGAATTGAAGGTGGTAAGAATGAGTGATAGTTAAATGAGGAAGCCATATTGTTTGGATCTGAATGAGAATAAGGTACAGGGATAATTGGAATAAAATCCTGTGGATTCTGAACATTTGTATTTATTGGCCAGTTAGATGTAGTCATAGACGGCAGTGTGGTCCACAACTGATTGGGCATATGAGAATGATCGGCGAAATTTCGAGATGTGTTTGGACAAAAGTTAATATTTTTATCAGCAGTCTCAGAAATAACATCGTTGGATGACTGAATACCAAAATAATTATGTTGGTCAAATGATGGATTCGTGATAGAAGCATTATTGACACAACTATTACCAACAACACTGGGACCACCACAAACTGTACCCGTAGTAGTAGATGTGTTCTCCTTCATACGTTTCTCATAATAGTCAATGACTCTAGCGGTTATTTGTTCCATTAACAATGGACAGGTGACACACTGTAAAACTAAATTGCAGTATTCATTCACAGCCATAGGACCTAGACTACTGGCTACCTACAAAAATATTTTCAAAAATAAAGCAGAAGAATACCATTTAAATATTACTGGAGATGTACATAAATTACAAAACGTACAACACCGAGACAAACATTCACTGTTAACCATACGAATACCAGCAGAACATGTTTATTATTATTTTATTCCTTTGAGTTTCCACTGGAACATAAGCCTTCAAGCTAGTGCTTTTTGAAGCTTCTGTAGTAATGGCTATATTTTTACAGGAGGGGGTTGCTAGCCTCATACCCAACCTTCTTTTTATTTGCCGAACTCATTACCAGCTACGCGAGGTTTAGGAGTGCGTCGGTCAGGGATCGAACCCCGGACCACGTGAGTGGGTAGCGAGTATTCTACGTCTGAGTCCCATGTTACCGCTTAAGAAATGAATAGGGATTTTGAATTTTACCATCTATGCTAATATAATTTATTCGGCGATTAGCCATTCCTATATTTTGTGAGATCAGATGATGCAACCTACCTGACTGAACTTCAGTAATTCAAAAAGAGTGCCAATATATGCTCCATTGCTTAAACACCAATGAACTATGTAATGTGAATGATACATGCGTCAGCTAACTGACAAACAGAAGGTTTTAAAACGAATGTCTGCCGTACTCTGTATTCAGGCGACAGGAGATAGTATTATTATATAAACTCTGACTTGTTAAGTCTAATTTATAGCCTAATGAAAGTCAAAAGTAACTTATTAAAATTTATATGTTATTAAATATATTTATGTGTATTAAAGGGAAAGCTAATTGTTTAATCTATTATTATTATAGGCATAATTTTTGAAAGCTAATTAACCCTACTTATTAAATGTTATTAACTATTATATATTCTTATCTTTCTTCTTCTCTCCTTTTCTTTTAAGTATCACTTTAGTTTTCTTTTCATTTTCTAAAATACCATTTTGAGATTTAAAGGAAATAATTACAGGCCTTAAAATTTTTTTTAAAAAAAGCACCAGATGAACACTTTGTATATATTTAACTAAACAAATTAAGTAAAATGGATAGAAGACGATAAAAAAAATCACACACACATACATACATCCATTATGCATAATAATCACAATAATAATATCCAACTTTGAAAATAAATACGGATACTCTTGCTTACATCTAAAGTCCATAGGATATGTGAATCACACGATTTTGAAGTGGTCGAATTAGTCAGATTAAAATATGCACTAACACTTGATGGTACTTTGATTTGATTCGATCCACACGATGAAGACACACTAGGCATAAAATACCATGATGATGAATTCTCTGATGTCAAACAATTAGTTGAATTAACTTCATCATTGATTAGATTACTACGAATATTGTTGTTTGCTACTGATACACCATTGTTATTACTATTATGATTATGATTATTAGCATTATTGTTGTTATGAGAAGAAGAAGACGGAGCATCATGTTGCGTTGCATAACGTCGTTGAAAATGATGCGTTAGATTACCACGATGATTTTGTTGCATATGATAGTAGTGTTTTCCACGCATATTCTTTGATGGCATTGAAACAACAATAGTATTATTTTGACGATTGAAATTCGAACTGGTGCCAGACTATGTTGAACAAAAAGAAAATTACAATGAAGTAATTAAGGCAAAAAACAAACAAACAAACATTTAATGTATCTTATCAACAGGGTTAAGAATAACCTTCAGACTACTTTAGTAAACATAAAAACTGTAGAACTTTTCACGAATTGACCTGTTAGAATTGTCATGTTTCAGAAAAGCACACAAAGTAAGGGAAGGCTTCTACAAAAATACCAGAAGAGTAACAATGACTTTCAGGATGTGGAGGATGGTACGAAGCGAACAGTGTCACCAAGAGTCTCCAACTAGTGATTATTAGCATTTCAACGATCCAGTTAAGCGGTTTACATCTTAAATCGATAGTCAACGACTTCATGCTTCTTATTCCAACCTTACCCTAATTCAGATAACATCCCATATGAGGAAGACAGTAACTTGTCTTGTATAACATATCAAAGATTTATAAGCCCGTCTATCAACTTGTTCACACTGTCTAACACTCGTTTCCCAACCCCATTCTTACATACTATATTACACCACGAAATACAGATAAGTGAAAGAAAGCACCAATGATGAAGATGTACTAATCTCTCTTTTACTTCCATGTCTCACATATATTAGACAAGTTGGAACCGATTTAACGCATACCGCACCTATAATCCTCCATAAATGACCTGATTCACAGACTCCAGTCTTTCCCTTGAAATGCTCTAATACTTAGTCATGCATCCATAAACTCAACCTGGAAAGTCCCATTACCCACCTTCACGTAGCTGAGGGTACGAATGTTCGAGGAGCTGAACTAATGGACATGGAAGTTCACCTAGAAAATGCGGAGAACCCTGATTTCAAGCTTCGGGATCTTGAAGGGATGAATGGCGGGTACGAACCTGTTTTAGTCACTGACAACTATGAGAATGCAGTTCCTACTATCTCGTGGATTGGTTGCTTAAGAGAACCGCCATCTGCTTCACTTTCGGCGTCTGGGGGTTATTTCAGCCTCTATACAAATCATGGAAAAAGAATCAGTTGAAAAGAAGCCAAACAACTAGCCAAAATTATCGGTTAGTAAATCATCGCCAACTACAGATTCAACGACCAACATACACTAGCCAAAGCTTTGTGTGAGAACTTAGGGAAATCACTTTCAAGCTTTGCTACTGCTACTACTAATACTACTGTGGTGAGAGCTGGCTGTTAGTCAAAATTGGTGGACAGTAATTTACGTCAATGTTTATGTCCCCAATATTAGTCGTGAGAAAAATGAAAAGAAAGGCTTCGCGTAGGCGGACACAGTCAGCATATAGATGATCTGACATTCAAGAAACAGTCACAAAGAAATGCAAGGTTGACTTTCTGTGAGAAACAACCAATCAGAAGACTGTGTTTTTCCTCTAACAATAATCTATAATATGTACATGAAAATCTATAAATACGTGTTGATTTCCTTAATAAACGATCTGTTGGCTGGCCCTTGTCTTCTGTTGTTACACTACTACTGATAATAATAATAATAATAATAATTAGGCAGCGGTAGGTTAAATATAAAGATTAAAGTTTGTTCGAAATACGAGTTTATCAAGATTATCCTCAAAAAATTAAATTCATTATTAAAATAAAATAAATAATTGAAACTTACTTGATTAACTGCCATTTTCTTAATAGCACATTTTGCACAAAAGAATGCCTTAACCAAATATGTTTGTGATTTCACTTCCAACGCTTGTAATTCACTTAGTGTAGATTTTACTGATGTATTAGATAATTTTTCTTTGTTATTTAAAGATGCTTCATTAGAACCATTACTGTTATTCGAATTAGGATTGTTATCATCACCTAATCCATCAGCTATTGATTCAGTTAAACGACATGAATCCCCTTCGGATAAAATAGAGCCTTGATCAGACATTGATGGATGTACTACAACTGAACTGGACGCAGTACTCGATGTAGTCAATTGACATGTTGATGTCAGTGTCGATGAAATGACTGATGAAAGTGAGCTACCTGATATCACTGTAGCATCAGTTATTGCATTAAGATTTAATGTATTAATACAACCATTGTTGTTGTAAGTGTTTATAGAGGAAGCTGATGAAGATGTGATAGACTCCACAGACTGTTGATGTTGTTGCTGAGGTGGGTTACTTAAAACATTACAAACCAATGATGGATGAATATTTGGGATAACCATTGTAGGATTGAAAGCGTATACTGATGGATCAATTACTTGGTCAGTTGGATATGTTTGATATGAATTGCATGCTTAAAAAAAAGAAAAATGATAATAATAATCCAATAATTCGATATATATATATATATATATATATATATATATATATATATATGTATACAAAGAGAGAGACATTTCACTTACGTAAAATGTTATTTGAAATCGTAGGAGATAGTGAACTAGAAGGATTAATTTGATGTGCAATAGTAACGAATGGACTGCTTTGAATTAAATTTGCCGATTGAGATGATGGTGATGTCGGATGGTTAGCGTTTGGAATAAACTGCGGGTGAAGGAAATAATTACTTGGTAGTTTCTGTACAGGTACAGATGCCAGACTTTTACCCAACGGTGTTGCCTGAGGTATAGACGGTATTCCAAAAGGATACGATGTATTCGGCTGTAAAATAATCAAATAATTACACACAATTGTATTACTGAATTAAAAAGGAAGTTGACTAATTTTTTATTTAAATAATAGTCATGACACATATGAATAACAGTTACCAATGCTTCTGAGTGATACAATGAGATTCCAGGTAGATTCATCCAAAAGCAATTCAACAACAGGCATTTGAAAACCGACCGAACAAGCATCTGAAGAAGTCTTTTAGGAAAACACTAGTTGACCAGAACTATAATGACTTTAGGCCAAGAGGTTCAAGCACACCGTTCACGTATGACCCACAAATCAAAAGTACTTTCGTTACCAGTAGTGTCAATGTCAAAATCACCATGTCATAAACTGAGTCGATGAGTGGCACAAAAGTAAGAGGTCATCCAAAAAGTAGCAAATTATAGGTTCGAAAATTCATTTCAATTTTGTCTTGAACCACAGAAGCCTGTCTTTCGAACATATTCAAACAAGCGTTTAGTTTCAAATAATGAGTATTCGATGCTTACGAGCAAACGACAGAAACAACAGAAACCAAATGCCAATAGTCAGAAACGTGCTCTCTTCCTGGTAACTAAATGAAAACGAATTACACTTCTTTCTTGTTGCTGGGATGTGAACTCAAGTTGTAGAGATAAAATTCTATTAGAGGTTGACTTCAAAAATTCTCACACAAATAAGACAACAGGTTCGATCACGGGTTGATATCAGTTACAGAACTATTGGAAGAAAAAAAAACGAACGGGGTACTGCACAGATGTTTGGTCCGAGTTTGGGACTCACAGACAGTATGCAGCTACTGTTCGAACCCGCGACCTTCCGGTTACAAGACAAGCTCGTAGACTATTTAGCCACTGTGACCCGATTCAACCATTGAATTTTAACTTCCACCAATTAGTGACTTTAGCGCAACTGTTTATCTGTCTGTTTTCGACATAGAACTTTGCACCGACATGCAGCAGTTCAAGTCGCCACACTCCCTCCATGTAGCACACAAACCAACAGAAGAAATGTATAATAGAGACAGTAAACAGAGGTGTGAGACAAAGGAATAGTAATAACGAGGAACAATATAGTTTCATTGGAAATCATAAGTCACAAGGAGTGGATGCATCGGCGCCAGCCATTGAGAAGTATTTTGAGCCATGTCACCAATTGTTTCCAACCATTGGTTTTTACTGTCCCGAGGACCCCAACCGGGAAGTCTACACCTTCCTACGTGACTGGCTTAGACTAACTGTTGTGGATTTCATTGACTGATGAGGCCCTGTTTTTGTTTGACCGCCGCTAGCTTTTTTCCAGCCTGACCCTATATCCGCTAACATTGCTCGTCGAGGAAGGCAATGACCAGCCATACGTAACACATGTCCTAACCATCTCAGTCTTTGTAACTTCACAACTTCATCGATTGGTTTCCCCTCCTTACCTAGCACTCGACGCCTAACCTCAATATTGCTCACCTTATTATACCACTTCACACGGGAAATAGAACGCAGGCACCTATGATCAAAGACAGCTAGTCTTTTCATGTCTTCCACTCTCAGTGGCCAGGTCTCACAACCATAAAGGAGGACGGAGCGGACTGATGAGCAATACACCCGCCCTTTGGTCGATAGTCGGATATCTCGTCTACGCCAGGGTCGGAGTAAACTGGCAAATACGAAAAGAGCCCCCTGTATTCGTGCTGAGATTTCGTCAGAGATCAACCCGTTGGCACTGGCTGATGGTACTTCCCAAATAAGTGAGGCGGTCAACGTGTTCTACCACTTCACTTCCTATTTGTAAACAAGGCGTCGATGTAGTCCAGTCCTGTAGCATCATCTTGCATTTGGCGGGAGCGAATCGCATGCCAAACATTCGTAGATTGCGGCTCAAGGTGTTTAGAAGACTCTGCATTTCGTCAGCGTCTTCGCCTAGAAGGACTATATCGTCTGCATATTCCAAGTCAACGAGATTATTCCCTGGTAGCAAGTCAATCCCTGAGCCACTGAAGTCACCTAGGTTTAAGTCCATTAACACATCTATGATGAAGTTGAATAGAAAAGGGGATAATGGGCATCCTCGACGGACACCACTAGTCGTCATCAGTTCAGATGACAGCTCGCCGTAAGCCCTCACCTGGCTGTATGAGTACGAGTAGAGTGCCTTAATCAGTGCAATATATTTTCTCGGAATTCCCTTTACAGCCAACTATCGCCAGAGAACTTCTCGATCGACAGAGTCGAATGCTGCCTTTAGGTTAAGAAATATAATGACTGTTGGACGCCGGTAGGAATGACTATGTTCTAGAATCTGTCGGAGGGTGAAGATATGATCGATACACCCTCTTCCTGGTCTAAAGCCTGCCTGGCTCTCTCGTGTTTGTGTCTCCCGAGCACCACTTAGTCTACGCATGATTATTGAGCCTAAGACTTTAGATACTATATTAGTCAAGCTAATCCCTCTGTGATTGTCACAGGATGACTTGTCTCCCTTCTTGTATATGGGGATAATCAGTGACTTACACCAACCCGATGGGACGTCTTCTGATTCCCAGACGCTGCCTAGTACCGCAGTTAATGCAGACAGTAAGCTGTCTCCACTGTACTTAAATACCTCTGGAGTCATTCCATCAGGTCCTGCTGCTTTGCCTTTTTTCAGATTGGTGACAGCTTTAGTAACCTCAGTTAGGGATGGAGGACCTGTATCTATATCCCATTCAGGGAGGTGTTGGATGTTCGGCAGGTTGAGCGTGGCTGTGGGCCAACTAAACTGCTCCTCATAGTGCTCTTCCCAGCATTCCAGCGATTTTAGCGCAACTACCAACTAATGTTATTGGCAAGTACTTGTCATCACCCGACCGTCGCCCGACTGGGTTAGTGGTCTTCATGCTAGCAGTCGCCATAATAAAAACCCGAACTCTCAAACTTATAACCAATTGAATCCCGACAAACCAACACTAGAAAATTTCTAATTTATTTGTGAATAAATATTGATCCTAAAATATTCGGTATCAATATATAGTTGTTGAATGCATTGGAAGTCTTTTAAGCTCTTTTCTAATTAGACGACTGTATGTGTATGTTGTCATAGTCACTACGTAACAACAAAACTTTGCTAGAGAAGTACATCGAATGAAAATCCAGAAACACTATTATGAAATAAGATTACATAATCTGTTCTATCCCACAGAGGCATCGAACTCCACATGGCGCACTCCTAAACCTGGCTTAGCCGGTAGTGAATCCAGTAAAGACAGAAGGTTGGCTATGAGGCTAGCAACTTCACCCCATAAAAATAAACACCACTGCTACTGAAACTTCAAGGCGCACACGCTTGAAACCCAGTGTTTTCCACTTGGAACGCAAAGGAATAATAATAATATGGAGAAGAATCCCGTACAGGAAATATAGTCTTTCATAGAGTTCAAACAAAATACATTAGGTTTAAATCTAATACTAATGCTGCTAATGCAGTGACTGTGATGATCACTATAAAGGCATCAACTACGCCTACAGCAATAGCATAATAAATTACAAATAACTTACTTGTACTGATGATACTAATTGTGTTTGAGGTAAATAACACGGTACATGATGTGTAGATTGCAATTGTGGCTGTGAATTATTCACATTTAATAAGTTGTTCGTTTGCTGTGGTTGTTGTTGTGTTTGTGGTTGAGATGGTGGTTGTGTTTGCTGTAAGTTAAACATGTTTAGATAGTACGGAAAAGGAGGGAACTGTGGTTGTTGCTGTTGTTGTTGTTGTTGGGGCTGTTGCCGAAGTGAGAAGTTGGAATAGTTTGGATGGATAGGATATACTGAGGGTGGATACATAAATGGTTGTTGTTGTCGTTGTTGATGGTGATGATCTGGTCGTAAAATTGGTGGTTGAAATAAGTTAACTGGTTGATAATAATTCCATGCATTGGTTAAATCACTGTTTAATGAGTTGCTATTACCCGCACTACCCATATCAGTTGAACCACATAATGGTGGTACACCGGATGTATTATTAGTATTAATATTATTACTATTATCAGTATTATTATTTATTTCACGAACAGGGATAGCTGAATTACTCAGTGGAACATTACCTTCAGATAAAAGTGTGTTGCAAGTAGAATTTCCTGTGATTGTAGCAGCACCAGCAGCGGTATTAGTATTATTATTAGTAGTAATTGTAGTAGTACAAGAAAGTGGAGGTGTATTAGTTAGTGTAGAATTACCTTCACTTACATTCTTTGATAATGATTGTTGATTTAAATTCATATTATCTAGTGAATTCAATGCTTGTTCATGTTCTTTTGTAACAGAATGATATAAAGAGAACCAACTTCTTGCTAAAAAGAAGTAGATTTCTGGTAGAGTACCATGGGAGGATTGATGTACACTTTTTTCAGTGCATAAAAGACCACGTTCAAGTGTAAGACTTGAATGTTCACCGCATTGTTCTAATGCTCGATATAATTCTTGTGGTCTCAATACATTACATAGTGATAGACTTGCAAGACAAAGTTCTGCAGCGATATCAACAAGCTATAAAACAAACAAAAAAAAACCAAAATTGAAAGAAGAGAACAAAACTGTGTGATGAGAACATGTTCATCAATAAAGACAACGACATTATCTAGTGATAGGAAACAAGTCAATTAAAAATGGGAAATTTCTAGCACTGTATATAAAGCAGAAGAGATACTAAAGCGTTGAATCTGTACCAATACCGAAACTGTATACACATTACATTGGTTACTGTTACCCAGTGTCCAATAAAAGTGTCGAATTTACTCCTGCAGAAGGTCAATCACGAGTCCGAATAAATCAGTGGTGACATCGGTGACTGTAGCACTTGGTGATTCCTTTTATTCCTTTATGTTCCCAGTAGAACATAGGACTTCAAGCTAGAGGCTTGAAGGTTCAGTAGCAGTCGTGTTTATTTTTACGGCATGGGGTTGCTGGCCTCATGCCCAACCTTCCCTCTTTACCAGTCTCATTACTGGGTTAGCGAGGTAGGGGAGTGAGTCGGCCGGGGGTCGAACCCCGGACCACCTGCGTGTCTGGCGAGCATCCTACCGCCACTGTGCCATCGACGCACAGCACTTGGTGATGCGGGTTCCAATCTCAAAGGGTCATGAGTTCTTTGAAGATTGCAGACGACTAGTGAGTGTCAACAAGCACGAAAGTCAAGTCCAGGACTTCCTGATGATTGAGCAAGTACACATTAGACAATACACTGGAAACGACATTGGAAACTGATTATTCATTGATTCGAAATTGATCTACTAATGGCACCTCCATTTCTTTTCAAAACGGATAACGATGTCAGTCGTAATGATAAATCGCGACAATGAACCCTTTCATCAGTATTCTTCATTTGATGACTAGTTTGTGCACGATACACCCAGGTCCATTTGTTTACTGTTTCTCTTACCGTTAAAAAAACAACTATATATCTCTTCGACACGTAACAACATGCATACGTAGATGCGTGTTTGTTCTACGCCGATTCATTCATCAATCAGTCTGTTAGTGACAAAGCCATAAATGAATTTCTTTTAGGCGAATAACACTTTTATGTGAATCTGATATCAAAAAATCAGAACAAAATCAAGTACATCTCTAGTAACAAGTAAACATCGTAATTATTTTTGAATAACACGCATAAAAATTGATTTGAGCCACTTTACTGAGAACAGAAAAAATAACACCGACGGATATATTTTCATCACTGTTAACACTTACAACATTTATTCATCAACATAAAACAACGAAATTACTGAGCAGAATTTAACAAGAGGGAAATAAATCATTAAAAAAAATAAATAACCTGTCTGTCTATCTACTTCTTTTCTGAATTGTTGAAGTTTCTGTTTAAATTTTCATGTAGAAGTCAATTATACTGTAGTGATTGTTTTATAGAAAATAATCAATCGACTGAATAGTTAGTGAAACTAATATAACAGTATCTCATTTGAATAAATCTCAGCATATTTTTCTAACGTTCATTCACTCATTTAATCGTTTATTATAACAGTGAGATTTTTTTTAAATTTCACGATGGATTTTATGACAAACCAACTAACATCAATTTAGGGAGGGGGGTGGGAGAATTATAGAACAATTGAAGAGCCCTAGACAGTTGTTTCAACTTACTTTACTTTTATAGTAGGACTTATCATGCGTCAGTCCACCTCAGATTACACACAACAATTGAGACATATTAGAAAAATTAATGGTAAAGTGTTGCTACAAGCTTTAAGTGGAAGTAAGCTAAAATAAACCACGCACTTGGAACAATACTTTTATGCCATAGTCAAACCAATTCACTCTGTCCTCTTCTATGACTGTGAGACATGGTCGATGAAAGTGAAAAACACGAAAAGGCTAACTGTTTTTGATTACAGATGTCTAGATTGTTTCTCCTATCTTACGTGGTATACTAGGAGAAATAATATGGAGGTCAAGTATTGAGTGTTAAGTAAGAAGAGGAAATCAATCGACCAGGTTGTGAAATTACATCGATTGAGATGGCTACAACATGTGTTACTCATCCCTAGCCATCGCCTTCCTCAACATCTAATGTTAGCTGACATACAATCAGACTGGAAAAAACCTAGTGGAATCAGTCAATCAGATCGTTAACAGTTAGTTTTGAACCACGTAGGGAGGTGAAGACTAACAACGTGGTTGGGGTCCTCGGGATCCTAAGAACCAATGAACGCTGTAGGCGATTGGTGATATGGCTCAAACTCATCGTTATCAGTAGCATAGATCCATTCACTCTTTGTGATCTGCCAAGTTCAATAAGACCCTAATGTTTTTCCATGTTACTCCCTTTTTTCCCTCACATTTCTGCTAGTCGTCGTTCTTTTGAATCTCTTTTTTTCACTCTCTTGTTTGTGATTTATGGGTTTTGGAAACCCGAACTTCTATGCACTGTTGTATATTGAAACCAGTCAGTCAGGTTTAATAAATGATTGATATTAGAATAGTTTTGTTACAAAAAGTGCCATTAATGGAACACTTCGAAAAATGCTAATAAGCAAAAGATCATTTTGAAGCTTCCGTTGTCTTTCTGTCTATCTGTCTGGATTCAACATAGAACTTGATACCGAAGTGCAGCAGTTCCAGTTGCCACGTTCCAAATAGCACACAAAGGTAGACAAGAAGATGAGTGAAGAGAATCAATACAGTCTGAGAAGTATAAGAGTGAAACAGAATGGGTAATGGTAGAAAGGAATATGAAAGATTACAGAGACTGAATACATCTGCGCCATTGACAACGATTTTGAGCCATGTCACCTACTGTCTCCAGCCATTGATTCCTAGAGTCCCGAGGCCCTCAACCCGGAAGTCTGCATCTCCCTACCTGACTCAGTTTAACTGTCAAGGATTTCATGGATTGATGAGGCCATGTTTTTGTTTGGCCACCACTTACTCTTTTCCAACCTGCACCTATATCAGTTAGTAATGACCGTCGAGGAAGGCGATGGTTAGACATGCGTAGCACGTGACCTAGCCATTTCAATCTATGTAAGTTTATAGCCTCGTCGATTGATTTTCCCTCTTAGTCCAACACTCTACGCCTAACGTCAACATTACTTACCTTATTAAACCACCTAACGTGAGAAAGAGATCGTAGACATCTATGATCAAAAACAGTCAACGTTTCATGTCTTCAACTCGTATTGGCCATGTTTCAGAGCCATAGAGAAGGACGGAGCGAACTGCTGAGTTTTCTAGAGTTCGTGGTAAGAATATATAACCACCAACAGGTGAAACGTAGATTTCAGTGATTCATGGTTGCTAACTTCATTTAAAACAATTCCAAGTTAGTGTTCCTGCTGTTAATCACTATACATTTGCACTCTACTAAGTTCGCCTTACTGATTTTATTAAAATTTCCGAAAATTCATCTAGCAGGAAGTCACCAATAATGAACATCAAGTTATATAAGCGATTGTCGGAAATGGCAACGAGTGTAGCAATCTGATGCTAATTAGCCGAGGCGGTGAAGCCTTCTACTTCAGTGCTACGGTGAAAAGCTTTTTTGATAAGGATATCAGCACCTCTTTATCGAGTGTTACTTATTAACATCAAACCAAAGATGTGGGTCATTGACTTAAGATCTCCACTTTCAGTCAATGAGCTTCTGGTCCAAATCTCGTTACACGTAATCCAGCTTGAGTAACCGGTTATCGTTATCATGTATCCGCCTAGTAAATAGATTTAAATCGCTGAAATACATTTATTTCAAAGAGTGAGTCGGTGGCCCAGTGGTTAGGACTCTCACCGACCATGCACATGGTCCGAGGTTCGATTCCCTACCGATGCACACCTGATATCTATAGTCGACCTGCAAAACTTTGGGCTACCGATATCACGTGCTGAAAATTCCATACTTGTACCAAAAGTACAGCGTGGAATAAAGCTGTAGTAAAAAAAATAATAACAATAAAGAGGTTTCAGTTAGAAACTATGGTATAAGCTGTCTTTACAACTAATATCCACAATGCATATTTGCCTCATTTTTGAAAACATCTACACTTATAAATAAATAAGGATTCAAATGTTTAGGCTGGTTGAAGTCAAATAACTGTGCGCAAATTAAATAAGTGGCATAATGGACATTAAACAGAATAAAGCTTATTCTTACCGAACGATTATTTTCTCTTGATAACTGGAATGAAATAGCAGCAAGCTCTGAAGCTGTAAGATGTTGTTGCCAAGAATGATATAAAATACAAGCAGCCGGTATACCGATTTCAAATACTTGTTGACTAATCCATCCACCATTTCTTGAAAATGTACGATTTTGCCATGAAGGCAGAAGACCATTGAAAAGTCCCAAACCATAAAGTCCCAACTAAAGAGGCATGAAAAAATAAAATATGAATGTATATTATCCGACTGATATCCACCATAATACTAACATTTGTATTTTCTAAGTGATATGACTGAAAGTGGACTGCTGCGGTAGGTGCTCTCACAGAGTATGACAACTCGAACTGTATGTTGATAAGTCACTCGTATTACGTTTGAAGAAATCTCTCATTTCACCTCACTGCATACATTCGTTTATTCATTGTACATTTCGTAGAACCCATTGTGATATACTACTGTCTATTCCATTCGGTAAATTATACGGTATGGAACACAGCATCAAATAAGCAAACTAAAATAGAATCACAACAACCATCACAATGTTCAATTCCTATTAATTTATTAGTTTCACTGTACAGCTTCCACCTTATCTTACTTAATTTCATTCACATTCTTTTTAACATATTTATCTTAATCGAAAGAGTTGTTCGTTTTCTCCACAACATTACTCCTCTGTTTTTTCCCACCCTATCGTTCTCTATCTTTCTCTACTCATATCAGCTGGTAACAATTCAGATTGGCAAATATCTGAACCAATCTTATTTCGTTACGATCAATTATACAACCGATATGCATGTTTTTTTGATTATAGCTTGATTCCACACCGCAGTTTTGATATAAGTATGGAATTTTCAGCATGTGATATCGGTAGACCAAAATTTTGCAGGTCGACCATTGATATCAGGTGGACCATGCACATGGTCCGAGGTTCGATCCCCTGCCGACGGTGCAGGTCCCCGGTGCATGTGCATATATATATATATATAAACTAGGACGAAACAGCTGTCCAGTACTCCCAGGTTTTCCAATGGTTCTCTAACCAATGTCAGCTCATGATGAAATCCTGTAACCAATCAATCAAATCCCAACAAACCAATACTTGAATACTAAATATTGATGAACAGTTACGCTGTATTACATTTTCATGGTCACAGAAAAACTTAAACAGGTGAATTCTTTTCTTTTTAAAAAACGACTTTCTTTTAGCACAGGAGATTTAACTTTAGAAATAATACAAATAATATATATTAATAGATTTTAATTTTAATTATGAAACTGATAAAGAATGTCAAAACTACTACACATATTTACTTCAACGTTGTTTCTGCCCTGAAAGCGATTAGCGAATCACTAAAAATCAAACATTGAAAATTTACTTTATCTAAGTATGAACACATTCATCAACCTGAAACCAATCTGGAAATCTTCGTCACTCAGCATCAACAACAAAATTCGGTAGGATTTTTAATACAAACATCAAGTCAGTTCTTCTATACGGATCAGAAACTTGGCGGGCAGGTCACAAAGAGTATTTCCAACAGCCTGTTTCAGACCTTTATCAACCAACAACTGTATTCGCTGGATCTATACTAAAGATCAGATGGCCGGGTCGGAAAGAATCACCAACAGGAAACTATGGGAACAAACAAAACAAGAACCAATCGCCCAACAAATATGCAGGAGAAAGTGAAGATGGATTGGACAATCGCTGAGGAGGCCACCACCGGGTGACATCGCGCGCGCGTCAAGCCGTCGCTCGAGTGGAACCCGAAAAGGAAGTGACGAGTAAAACGTCAGTGCAAGGGTGACATGGAGGAGATCGTGTGAAGAGGAGTTGAAACAGTATGGACTAAGATGGATGCAGGTGAAAAGTACAGTAGAAGACAGAAGTGGCAAGTGGAGATGTGCAGTTGAAGCCCTATGTTCCACTAGGAACCCAAGGGAACAATAATAATAGTAAGTATCAGATCCTTCAGTAGTATTCACAAACTGACCACTACAAAGAATATACGGGTGTAGGACAATAAAACTTCTTCGTGAAAAATGTTGCTTCTTAGTCATTGGATGGTAATTCAATCGTCAATATTTTTAAAATTTAGACCATATCGTAAGATGGCGGTGGTGGAGTTATAAGTCATGAGCTCTGTTAGATTTCAACCCAGAAAAGCTGAATAGTAAGTAATATGACAACAGCGCATTTGACTTGTTACATAATCATAAGTGAGAAGCACTGGTCAGTCACAAAACACGATGAAATAGACTTCCAGAAAATCCTAATGATTCGATAAATGATGCTTGCCTGTAACGATGTCTATCAAATTTCAAAACTTCACTTTTGAAACAAGACTGTAAATATTGTCAATAACAATTTTTTTCTAAAACGAATGAAACAAACCTGGAAAGAAACCAATTGAAGATTACGATGCACAGTGTCATTTGCTTCGGGCTCAGCTACAAACATCGATCCATTACCACTTGGTCCACAAGCACCTTCTCGAATTTTTTTAGCCAGTTGGAAGACATGAAATGCCATTGAATCGGATAAAGGTTGTGGTGGTGGGCGTCTGAGATGACAATGCCAGCCAATACGTAAACGAAATGGACCAGTGGTTGCCGATAAATTTCGAAGAGGTAAAGGATAGGATTCTGAATCTCTACATGAATTGGTATTACGCTTTGTATTACTTTTAATTTCACTATGTGAACCTGAAGGAATATTGACGTCATCCGACTATAATTTTAAATGAGTATAAAAAACAACACAAACAAGTCATCAGTACATCATATACAGAAAGAGATATTTTCATGAATGACAACTTTAACCATTGTAAGAATTATTTAACACAAATTTCGAGTTTTAATTACTTGCATATTATAAAATCTCGCCACCCAAAAACATATCCTGGGATCAACTCTTGTTCGACGTACTCCTAAGCAATGGAAAATATCCATCAGGATATTAGAGAGAGAGGAACAAGAAGCTTAGCATATATATACCTTTTTGGCGACTTCATCCTCGAAAGCCGTACACAATCGCATTTTCATACACAAGTTCATATTAGTTGCAATTATTATTTAATTCAAAGGTGATGCTAATTTTCAGCTTGATATAAGAGTTTGAAGGTGTGAACATAGATTACAAGGGGGCATAGAAACAAACCTAAACCTCGCTTAGCCGGTTGGAAGTCAGGCAAAGAGGGATGGTTGAAAGTCAGGCGGCTAGCGACCTCATCCTGCAGAAAAAACAACACCGCTATTGAAACTTCAAGACTGAAGCTTGAAACCCCATGTTCCACTGAGAAAGTGTAAAGGAATGAAAAAGTAGTGTTGAACAAAATTTGGTTCAGAAGAAGCATACTCTTCAGAGTCTTTTCTTCCTTTCCTACGTTTATAAAATGCAATAGTAGAACAAGGATTTAACGAATTGTGATTAAGAAGACAATTGCTGCGAAGAAAATTTTCTTTACGACGAAGTCATCATCTAGGCTGTACATTCGCGTATTTATACCAAATGGATGAGAAAGTTCCAGAATAATTTCTGGTCAAGGGTCAAATTAACAAAAATTACAATTAGGAATTATAATGCCATAATAAACAGGGGGTACGGATAGAACTCAAACAAAGCAGCATCATAATAACTAAGAAGATTGACATTGTGCAATTAGGGGTTAGAAATGTAGAAATAACAAAATAGACAGGATGTTTGGATAAGAACTAATGTGATGAATAATTGTTTATGCAATCATGGATTTAATATGTAGAAATAGTAAAATGACAAAATAAACACGAAGTTAAGGTACGAAAATATGGTAGTGTAAACAGGGATTAAGAAAAACTTAAAATAACATGAATAAACAGGAAGTTTAGATAAGAAAGGAGATGGGATGGTCATCACTAAAAAATTACCTGTTTATGATGGCCATGGCAAGGACAGGGGTTGGACGTATTTCTTTTGTATGTAAAGCGTGGGTTTGAGCTTTTGTATAGCTAGTGTCTCAGCTATGCCCAGATATCTTGATTTCACTCCATTTGATAGGTTTGATTGGATCTTGTATATTACTTTGAAGGATTTTTTGAAAGGCGCTGAATGTCCTGAATTGACCAGATGTTCTGTCACTGAACTGTATACATTCTTTTGGTCTCCTTTTACTAACCAGGCTGGATACTGTTCACAAGCGCGTTTTTCAAGTCGGCGCATGGTACACTCAACGTATTCAGCTCCATAAGAGCAAGTGAACTGGTATATGCACGTTGAGGTGGCTCAATGCGACAGCTTGTCTTTCGCGTTCTGGATGAACAGTTTCTTGCAGAAAAACGTCAGTCGTAGGCTCGCAGTAAAGAATGTTTTCCTTAGCGATTTGGAGAGGCGTTTACGAAGGATTTCTGCTTCAATATCACCTTTGAATTCTAAATTAAGCAGAAGTACTTTCTTTGGAACGGATTGGACTTGTTCGGAAATCTTCTTAGATTTGAGATTCTTGTCTATGAACCTGGGCGGGAAACCGTTTTCCATCAGGGTTTTTCGGAGATTACGCAGTTCTTCTTCAACCACTTCCTCGCTGCATATCTTCCGGATCCTCGAGGACAGAGCGTATATCAGGTTCCTCTTTCTGCTTAGGGGCACGAAGCTTTGAAAGTTGATGAATTGTCCATTCCATGTGTGCTTTTTGTAAATGGACTTTTTCAGAGAGTTGTTGGCGTTTCTTGTCACATGGACTTCGTCGAAAAGAAAATTTTCTTCGCTGCAATTGTCTTCTTAATAATTCATATAATCCAATGTGTATAATCCGTGAATTGTGATTAGTTATAATAAACGCTTTCATACATTTTAGCCATCACCATATTTATTTATTTATTTTTTTATAGCTTGATCTCACACAGTATTTTTGGTACAAGTATGGAATTTTCAGCACGTGATATCGGTAGCCCAAATTTAGCAGGCCAACCGTTGATATCATGTGTGCGTCAGTCGGGGACCGAACCCCGGCGAGCGTCCTAACCGACAAACAAGACATCCTGTATACATAAAATGAGCCGACTTTCGATGCCCATTTGTAACATAATTAAATGTTAGCATTATTATTGTTGTCATTATTGAAACAATTTGAAAGAGAATTTGTTCTACCCTAATAGTTCCGACTTTTTTAAAAGAACATTGAACAAGATATTCGTAATTCTCAACCAGTTTTCGAATGAATGCCGAGATATTTGAGCACTCTGCTGCTCAGCAGTCCGCTCCGTCCTCCTTCATGGTTGTGAGCGAGACCTCAACATTGAGAGTTGAAGACATGAAAAGACTAGCTGTCTTTGATCATAGGTGCCTGCGTTCTATCCCCCGTGTGAAGTGGCATAATAAGGTGAGCAACACTGAGGTTAGGCGTCGAGTGCTAGGTAAGGAGGGGAAACCAATCGATGAAGTTGTGAAGTTACAAAGACTGAGATGGTTAGGACATGTGTTACGTATGCCTGGTCATCGCCTTCCTCGACAACGGGCAATGTTAGCCGACATAGGGTCAGGCTGGAAAAAAGCTAGCGGCGGTCAAACAAAAACATGTCACCAGTCAATGAAATCTACAACAGTTAGTCTAAGCCAGTCACGTAGGAAGGTGTAGACTTCCCGGTTGGGGTCCTCGGGACAGTAAAAACCAATGGTTGGAAACAATTGGTGACATGGCTCAAAATACTTCTCAATGGCTGGCGCCGATGCATCCACTCCTTGTGACTTATGATTTCCAATGAAACTATATTGTTCCTCGTTATTACTATTCCTTTGTCTCACACCTCTGTTTACTGTCTCTATTATACATTTCTTCTGTTGGTTTGTGTGCTACATGGAGGGAGTGTGGCGACTTGAACTACTGCATGTCGGTGCAAAGTTCTATGTCGAAAACAGACAGACATATTTGAGCAAACATGAAATAATTTCCTAAAGGCGATAGTCTCTAGCAAAGTTTTCGTTTGACAGACTATCGTCAGTAAACTGTGCGACAAACAAAGGTAAAATGAATATCTGGGTTGTGGTAGGGCTAGATAACCAGAGGTCTCTGATTTGAACCCTGCAGCGACCTAGATAGACTTTCACCTTACCTTCACAGTCATGACTCGTTGAGCATCATATGTCATTGAATAAAGTGCGGTTAAATTAATTGCAACGACAAAACATAAATTATGCATATATGATGTATTCTTGAGAATCGCGATATTGAAATATAGGAACACTAGAAAGAAATTCAATCTGATTAGAATATGTGACTTAAGAAAAACGGAATTTAAACCTTCTAACACTCCTATCACAATTTGTTTAAAAAGTCTTGAATACACGTGAAAAGAGAGACCATGGAAAAAGTGAATTTTTATTGAAGATAATTAATTTTTCCGACGTCAGCCTATAGCCAATTCTTAAAGGAATAACTCGAAAAGTACCAAAGCATTGATAAAAAAAACACCTCGGCAACTTGCACACTAACTGCTTTCTTTAGTTCAGTTAGTTTGCTGTGTGTACGGCCAGCAGTCATTAGGACTGTGTGAATGCTGATCACAGTAAATGGTTACCTAAAGTAAAGTAGACTGCCACTTGACTCTAAATTTGCAGTTGATTTCGTTGATGGTCAACCAAACATCACTTACAGGAACTATTAAACTGCAATCACATACATCCTAAGAACCCAGTTACTTCGGACAAACTGTTCATGTGCCAGGCTATAAAGTCCTCAGTTATTATGTGAAGCTTGGTTACAATACCTAGTTGCATACGCTGAATATATATAACACTAAATAATAAGAAGTTTGAAATGCAGGAGAGAAAAAAAACAGTAACATACTACATCTTGAAAATAATTTGCCTGACAAGGTTTAGTATTGCTATCATTATTAATTAACTGTTTCGTAATAGCAATCTGTGTTGAAATACATTCATTACCACCATCATCATCAACATCAGTGGAGGAGGAAGAGGGAGAAGGAGGTGATCGTGACGATTGTATTTTACCACTCTGGCCCATTGAAATTTGTTTATCATTCTCATGTTTATTATAATTTTTACTTTCTATCAAAGTTGCTGTTGTAGACAAAGAAACTGAATTCGAGGTGTAATCATTTATAGACATTTGTTTATAACGTTCAGCAATATCTCCACATCCACCATCACTACTTTCAGTTGTATACGCAGCTGACGATTTTTGACCAACTAGAATTAATCGACGTATTGCATCAGGTGAATTATCACTACTTGTTGTTTCTGGTGCACTAGTATCAACTGCAGAGAAATGACACATTCTTCTACGTGGATCGCATAAAGCTGCATATCGTAAGTTATCCAGCTAAGAGTATGAAGAGAAAAATAACCCATTGAAAAATACACGGAATAAAACAGGTGAATGGTCAACTAATATTAGAAACAACAGATACATCTATTAACCGTAACGTCTCGCTAAATGTAGAAATTGATCGCTTGAGATAAAATTTCAGAGAGGGGAACAACTATTACGACGCTGAGGCAACGCCTTGCTGACGAGTAACAAAGTTGTCGTCTGAAGGAATGATAACCAAATGCGTTCCGTCAAGGATGTCCAGTGTCTTTATTTCTGTTTAATCTCATGATACATGTATCAATGGTATTGACGCCAGCTGACTTTAGCGACTGAAGGATTGACTTGTTACTAGAGCATAGTTTCATAGGCTTAGAGCATGCGGATGAAATTGAAGACGCTGGTAAAATGCAGATTTTTCTCAACACCTTAAGGAGAATTATTAGAATGCTTATCTCACGATTCGCTCCATTTAATTGTGAGATAGTGTCGCACGGAGTAAGTCTACACTGACTTATTTATTTGAGAAATTGTATCAACCCTAATGGACTGATTGTTGACCAGATTTCAGCACAAATACAATAGAATTTGTCAACTTACATCATCTCTGCCATAAATGTGATATCCATTTTATAGATCAAAAGTGATGACTGCTGCACAACGATCCAGTGCGTCCTTCTTTATGGTTGTGCGACATAGTTAGTGAAAGTGGAGGATATAATGAGTATTGACGATAGGTGTTTGCGTTCTGTTTCACGTGGTATAACATAGTTAGTAATAATGAGGTTAGGCGTAGTGCTAGGTAAGGAGGGTGTAAGTCAATCGATGAAGCAGTGAAGCTACATCAATTGAGATGGCTAGGACTCATTTTGTGCATTCTCCAGTCACTGCCTTCCTCAACAAGCAATATTGGCTGACATAGCATTACGTTAGAAAGGCTAACGTAACCTAACAATCGGTTTGAGTCATGTAGACAGGTGTAGACTAACTGACTGGCTGACTGGAGTCTTCGACGAGGCCAAGTATCAAAAAATAAAGACTATTGATGGATATAGCTCTAAGTTGTGCATATCTATTCATTTCTTGTAATCTAGCATATATCCATTATTCAATTCTCATGTTTTCCTACATTTCTGCTTATATTATAGTTCCTTTGAATCTAATTTTTTTTCTTTCTTTTCTCTACTTTTTATGTGCTACACATTAAAGTGTGGCAACTTGGACTGGTTCAGCTTTTCTGTGCAAAGTTCTAAGGTTGGAACTCAGCAGTCAAGTACATTTCACCGAGATGTAAGTTACCTTAAGTTTATCACACCTAAGATTTTAATACGTTGAATAATGGAATGACACTTACATGTAAAATGTACAAATGAAATTGAAATGTTGAAATAATAACAGAGTGGATGTTGTCATTGAGGTAAGCGTACAAGATGTTTAGAAAGAACACTCGACTTTGAGAAGACCAGAAGACGTTAAAAAGTAGTAATCATATTTTTTTTTAAAAGATGTCTCTAAGGCTTCTGTTTAATCTCCTTAATAAATGGAAGTACTGTGTGTATGTATGTGAAATTCAACAATGATAGCGTTTTACAAAATTCACTTTGAATGTTCTTTCATAACAAGATGATGAACATGTTCTTCACCGAAATTATTTACTTATTTATTCAGTCAGTCAGTCTAATGTAAGCCTACACAAAGAAATGGAACATTTCTTACATAGAATAAATCTGATTGCAAAAAAGGCAAAGGGCTACTCTAGGGTAAATTTCATTACAAACTAACATAAAACCAATGGACTTCTGTCTCATCACACACACACACACACTAAGAATCTTTAACAGTCTGTCTGTCTGTCTGTTTCCGACATAGAACTTTGCACCGACATGCAGCAGTTCAAGTCGCCACACTCCGTGTAGCACGCGAAGCAAGAGAAGAAAGTACAAGAAAAGCATAATAGAAACAGTGAGCAGAGGTGTGAGACAAAGGAGTAATAAAGAAAAACAAAACAGTTTCATTGGAGATCATATGTCACAAGGAGTGGATGCATCGGCGCCAGCCATTGAGAAGTATTTTGAGCCATGTCACCAATTGTTTCCAACCATTGGTTTTTACTGTCCCGAGGACCCCAACCGGGAAGTCTACACCTTCCTACGTGACTGGCTTAGACTAACTGTTGTAGATTTCATTGACTGGTGACATGTTTTTGTTTGACCGCCGCTAGCTTTTTTCCAGCCTGACCCTATGTCGGCTAACATTGCCCGTTGTCGAGGAAGGCGATGACCAGGCATACGTAACACATGTCCTAACCATCTCAGTCTTTGTAACTTCACAACTTCATCGATTGGTTTCCCCTCCTTACCTAGCACTCGACGCCTAACCTCAGTGTTGCTCACCTTATTATGCCACTTTACACGGGAAATAGAGTGCAGGCACCTATGATCAAAGACAGCTAGTCTTTTCATGTCTTCCACTCTCAGTGGCCAGGTCTCACAACCATAAAGGAGGACGGAGCGGACTGATGAGCAATACACCCGCCCTTTGGTCGACAGTCGAACATCTCGTCTACGCCAGAGACGGCGTAAACTGGCAAATGCGAAACGAACCCCCTGTATTCGTGCTGAGATTTCGTCAGAGATCAACCCGTTGGGGCTGATGGTACTTCCCAAATAAGTGAAGCGGTCAACGTGTTCTACCACTTCACTTCCTATTTTTAAACAAGGCGTTGATGTAGTCCAGTCCTGTAACATCATCTTACATTTGGCGGGAGCGAATCGCATGCCAAACAGTACATAGTCATGATGCACAGATAACGATACCAGAGTGTTACTTTTTAGAATCCAATGGTGTATGAGCTCTAAGTTCTTTCAATTGACGGCATAACAACTAACTCAGTGAAACGTCTCATTAGAACTTCACAAACAAAGACGAAATGGTTCTTCAAATGCTCACTAGTTTTCACTCGTTCTCTAACCGATGTGTGTCTGTGGCCAAGCATCCACACACACACACACACACACCTTCAAACAAATCAAATCTCTACAGAGCAACACTTAAAAACAGCATTTATTTTAAAAGAAATATTTTAAAAAGCAATCTGCCTTATATGAATTGTTGTTTACCATACCTGCGGCCTCCAAAGCCTCAGGATGGTCGGGGGTGGGTGTCTTGCGCTGCGGGTTGGCCACCCCTCCGCACACCTCTTGAAATGCTCCCATATGACCGGGCGTCTTACATAGCCTCTCCTGAGGAAGTCCTACTCACTGCCTTCACGTGGCGGAGGTGTTTCTCACCAAAGTGAGAGGGCGAAAGCGGATGCCCGGCGCTCTCCACCGCGTTGACTGTCCATTGGATGACGGTCTAGGGGAGGTGGCTAAACCCTGATTCCAAACCTCCAACGACTGGTGTATGAAGCTCACTGGAGCTCACCGGCAGACGTATGGACAAAGGGCTTGTTGGATGTCCTGGATGTCTGGCCCCATTCAAAAAGGCGTATGAACCGAACTCCGGTCACCGGCTGCCAATGGATAGTGGACTCCTTACTCCACTCTTACTGCCTTGTAGGTCACACTTGGCTGTGTAAAGGCTAGAGCTGCACTCTCAAACAAAAGGCCGAGCGATGCTGGGGACATCACTCGTACCAAATTCCCATGAAACTTCATGAACTCTCTTACAAATTGCCGCGCCTGGGCAGCGATGATTCGAGACGTTCATGAAGCCGGCTCATCCTCCCGTAGGAGATAGCCGAAGTAAAGTAAGAAGTAAGTTGTTTACCATCTGCGCACAACATACCTTTGAATCAGATAATGTATCCGTGTCTTCACTGACCGAGACTGGATCAAACGATGATAATGGTATATTATTAACAGATGCATACTGTTTCATCTTATTAGATGAGTTATCCCCATCTGAAACTGGCGATGTATCAGGCATATCTGAATATGCATATTTATCTAGACATCAGAATAACAAAGAAAAAGAATCACTTCAGAGAAATATCGATAGTCAAATTTCAATATACAGTTAAAATCAGTTTGTGAAAAGAAGAAACTAAAAAACACATTCACATTATACACTTATCAAATTACAAATAAAAATAAAGATTTAAGTGTTCGCATGTAAGGATTCGATTGGTTACAGGATTTCATCATCAGATGATATTAGTTACAGAACTATTGGAAAACCTGGGAGTACTGAAGGGCTGTTTCATCCTGGTTTAGGACTCCTCATCAGGACGCACCCACCACCAGGGTTCGAACCCAGGACCTTCTGGTTACAAGGCAAGCTCGTGAACAGTAGGGTGCAGCAGGTCAGATGTGAGGACAAATACCTGCGGAAAACATTGGCTAGGGGTCGCGATATGTCGTGAATTGGCAGAAGTTAGAATTCATGGGCCATTGGATTGGGTCCCAGTGGCTTAACGGTATACGAGCTCGCCTTGTAACCAGGTCTTGGGTTCAAACCTCGGTGAGTGCGTACTGATGAAGAGTCCTAAACTAGGACGAAACATGTCTCCAGTACTCCCGGGTTTTTCAACGGTTCTCTGACTAATGTCAGCTCATGATGAAATCCTGTAAAAATAAACATGTTTGTAATATCTAAATAATCAACAGTATAATAAATTGTGTTATTTAAAGACTACTTGAACAACTACTTCGATAAAACAACGGAAAATATCGGTACTACAACAAGTACATATCCATGTAGAAAAATTCTACGAGACATTTCTGAGATGACCATCAATAACTTTTATTATCCAAAAGAAACTGTGCAAAAGAGTTCAAACAAACTGTACCACACCGTAGTGCTGAAGAGAATAGAAGAGAAATCCTATACTAATTATCTTCAAGAAGAATGAATACCCGTAAAGTTTCATCAGAAAATGTTTTAACTGAAATCGGAATCGGAATACCATCAAGAAACCATCCTCAAAGAACCGCATATAACATATACAGCTGAAATAACGGCTAGAATATCGAGAAAATGTGAATTAGACAGAGTACATAAGCCAACACGACCGCTTCATTCAATATTGTGCAGACCAAAGGATCCAACAGAAAAAGAAGGATCAAGGATGAGATTAAAATTCTTTACAAAATAAACTGCATAAACCGTAATAAACACCACATTGGTCAAAATGGGTGTTCTCTTCGATTCAGAATCCAAGAACATAATTTAAATGCAGAAACACGCAATAACTATTCATTCATATCGATGCATGTAGACAAGTATGATTGAGAGAATGTGGAAATTGTAAAACATATTGAACACAAAAAATGCCAGGGACTTTTCAGAAGTCTAGTGCTCAGACGAATGAGAAAAAAGAACAAACGCATAACTGTGGATCAACTTTACCAACTAATATAAAAATAAGTCACATGACAAGAAAGTTCGAATTCTAAGCCAGTAGAGATGCAGATTAACAACCATTGGTGACAATAGTTGTCAGAAGATACAACTGTATCACCATTCATGGAGAATTCAAACCAGTTTACCTTGTATTAAAACTTGCTCTGAAGATGTTGCACTTGGTCAGTGTGTAGTTTTCTTTTGATAAAAACTTGAATTTCATTTTTCACGGGATACGTAAAAAAGATTGCGATTCTCATCAGTAATTATCACAGTCATGTAGCTGTACATTTCAAGACATTGTCAACTTCACTTTACTTTTCACTGTAGAGATTCGTGTGTTATCGCGATACCAGTTAGTGAACAGAAAACAGTGATAGGGTCTCCAAACGCTCCCCTAAAGATTTGCTGACTGACTACACTAGCCATTTAAGATTATAATTCCATTATGTGGATGCGAACACCCACCAGAAATGAAATACGCTACCTTATTTGATGTTGGCTTTTATTTACACTAAATTTCTTAAATTACCACCAGTGAGTCGCGAATTTAAGCCCCACTCTATTTATTTCATCCTGGGTGACTGACTGGGTAGTATCAGTGTGTTCTGTACACTGAAAATGAAAAATCTTTTCCGGTTAACTGTTATCACTGCTACTACCTAGATTGTTGCAAGGTGCAGAATGGTTAAACCATATCACTCGGCAGATAATATCGCCTTGAATTATATAAACAAATAAGACAGGGTAATAATAATAATAATGACAACGACAAAGAAGATAAAGGGAATTATTTTCGATATACCTTCGGGAATACGTGGAGTAACTTCATCTACACCAGTGTTGATATCATCACCTTCTTTACAATTTATTTCAGTTACTGGTGAAATTTTATCATTATTATTATTATTATCATTGCTACTACTACTATACACAACTGTTTCAACCTCCGTTAACTGATTTAAACTTTGAAAAGTTGGATTTGACATTGAAGACATCGCAGGATTCGTTACGGGACTTATCGTTGATAAACTGTTCAACTTGACTGAATTAATAGTGGTTGTAGTGCTGATGGTATTCGGAGGATTAGAAGCAGTAGCAGCAACAGAAATAGCTGAATTTTGTGACGCAAAAGATTTATTCTCATGTTTAATGATCTCCGCCAGTTCAGGAACTGAATTATAACCTACATTAGACGACTGAAAATTCATTAATTCACGAGAATCCAAGTTTAAACAAGCCCATAAAGGTGGTGACTTAAAATGCGGATTGTAATAACGATCAAGTAGTCTGGCAAGTATCTACATAAACAAAAAGAATGAAGAAATACAAACTCCATTAATAATTATCATAATACTTCATATTAATTTGGAAAAATAATAATAATGTAGTTTCATGCCTCAAGGTAACGAATCAGAACAATGTTAGTTTGACTAATTAACGACAGCGATTTTGAACTAGTTCACAGACGTTAGGCAACTTTTAACTAGTGAATCATGAGTCCGAAATATGTTCCATCAAGCCTATATCATACAAATGTGTGTGACCTATTTACAAATGCATAGGCACACACCATAATTATAATAATAGTCATAAATCATGGAATCAGTGATTGCTGATCTGAGTCATCCAAGAAAAAAGAGACTGTCAGTTTGAGATGGATGAAATGATTAGAAAATCAACAGATTAAATCAAAGCAGCATATATCTTTACATAAATATTAATATTTCATGTGCTCTTGTTTCGCTGATTTGCTCCACCTATTATTTTTTTACCATCTGGACGTTTTTTTTAAAGTTGTTTTCTGCCCTCCTGGTTCTTAACTTTACCCCCAACCCTAGCAAATTAAAACACTTTCATGTCAGGTATCATACATAACTTTTCATTTTTCAACATCACATAAAAAACAGAAATTTGTGAAAGCTACTCAATCCTAAGAACTAGTGTTTAAAAAAATTAGAACAAAATCAATGCAGCATAACTACAGATTTTTGTTCATACTTAAACCTACGCTTACACTAGAATTAAAAGGTTGACTGAAGGATGGTTCAAACACAGATTTACCAAGAAAGTAAGAAATTAATTTACCACAATATACATGAATAGGGAGTTCTAATTATGGCAGAGAAATATACACCAAAGTGTATCACATAAGTTTAATTTGCAATTTGAATTGAATTTATAAGAATATAACAGAGAGTTAAAAGGAATAAAACAATAGCTTGTGGAACTGTTACTATTTTTTGATTTTTTTTTTATTTACAGCTTGATTCCACACTGTATTTTTGGTACAAGTATGGAATTCTCAGCATGGATATCGGTAGCCCAAATTTTGCAGGCCGACCATAGATATCAGGTGTGCGCCGGCGTGGGCTTAAAGTGATGAATAGCAACAACAACTACATCAACTGTGATCAATTCTGAGTAATATCCCCTGGAAGGTTCGATCAATGATTCTGAACACTGTACCAAGGCCGTTCACATCCACCTGTATGACTAATGAGGGCCTTCAAATAGTTTGTACAGGTTTTCGATCAACCAACTTTAATCTTCTTTAAGCCCAACTTCGTCCAAGCCCAATTAAGACCAAGGAAGTCACTGGATTCGTGATATCTGTATTCTTGATGAGGTTTTATTATCAGCTCACTGCAACTGATAAGTCAAGAGGTCAATTTGTAATAACAGAAGACAAGGGCCGGCAACAGATCATTTTTATTACGGAAATCAGCACGTATTTATATATATTTCCTGTACATTATTATAGCTTATTCAAGCGGACAAACACAGTCTTCTGATTGGTTGTTTCTGGTTTCTCGGGAAGTTAAACCATATATTTGCGAATCTTATTTGCCTGCGTTAAGTCTGCTGTGATTGGTTGTTGAATCAGCCTTGTTCATATTTTCTCACGGCAAATATTAGTGGCCTAGACATTGACGTAAATTATTGTCTACCGATTGGCTGGTAGCCTGCTCTCACCACAAATGAACTCAGTCACTTTATATGAGATATCTTTAGATCTATGGATATTCCATTCTACTTAGCAAATGTAAAATATGTACTAAATATGCTTAAATTTCATTAGTTTTTAACATCTTCCGTGCAACACAAGTGATTTCTAAGCACTGTAGATGATCCCTGAAGGGTAAATCGATTCCTAAAAGATGTCGTTAGTAGATTCAGAGGTGAAAAAAAATCTCATAAAATAATGAACAAACTTATAGACAATCTGAAGAAAACTTACTCGATCCAATTTCGGTATATCATCTCGATATATATGAAAGAGATAGAGAGCTAAAGCGTCTTCTTGTGCACGTTGACCTTCAATAAAATAGGTGAACAATTTCTCCGGTACACGAGATTTTACACCCAATACTGATATCACAGATTGTAGGCCTAGTTCTGCATCTGATGTAATACGCACATTAATATTATAATCTGTTTTTTTAATTTCCAGTGAATTATTTCTCATATCATTGTGTAAATTATAAATTTCCATTGCTAATGGTAAACCACTTCCATTTAATACAGCACCAGTTGTTAAAATTGGACAAGCCAATATATTTAGTAGGCCGGTTGAATTCATATTCTGTGTAACATTTTCTGTACTCTGATCCAAAGAGAGGATAAGATTAACCACCCGTGGACATAAGGGATTTCTATATGAACTTGATACACCAACTAATTGATGAAATAAGTAGGTGACCAGGTTAAATGGAACTAGAATATCTATTTTTCAGAGGGATGTCAAAAAGAAAGATCAGATGAATTGATTACATATAATTAAGAAAGATAGAAAAGAAACGTATTCAAACTATGTAAGAGTAGATATGATGATGATGATAATAGTAATAATAGAGGTCAGCAAAATAACAAATACTTCAATTAATGGATAGAAAGTGATGTTTCTAAGGAAAAATAATAACTACCATCTGACTTAGTATACACAAACTTGATTTTGAAGAGAATCTCATCAAGATTTAAGAGGAACGAGTGACAAACGAACCAATTTTCGTTCGTTATCAACAACCACCACAATCACATAAGGTTGAGTCATCCATTGTCTTATGAGTTCAACTTTAAACTGAAAGTGAGAAGAGTGACCACCTGGGACAACCACCAAAATAGATTTGAATGTTCAAGCAGTCATTAGAAATGGTAATATAAGGAAGCAATTAGACAACCAGATACTAATAACTAGAAAATTGCATTCCTCAAAAATGCTTGAAATGAAGCCTAAGCCGGTCGGTCCTTCACTATGTGCCTTGATTTATAAAGAAAGAAAAAGTAGAATTTGAGAGCTGTGGTAGACAATAATTCTCTATCCGATAGGTTTATTTGATATGAGAACATACAGTATTATCTAGCCATTAACTACTGTATTAGTGTTATATCACAAATAAACTCATCTGGTAAGTGTTAACACTCGATGAAATTCAATCCAGCTATAAGTATACCATCATTTTAGAAGTATACGGCCTTCTACGATTCCAACTACTGACAGATATATTGATTGTCAAGTGTTGGTTTGCAGGGATTTAGTTGGTTACAGGCTTGACCGCGAGTTGACATCAGTTAGAGAATCACTGAAGAGACTGGCAGTTCTGGCCAGGGTTTCATCTTGGCTTAGTACTCTTCATCAGTATCCACTGGTGTTTAAACACAGGACCTTCGGGTTACCAGGTGAACTAGTAGGTCATTCAACCAGTGGGACTCAACTTAATGCCCCATCAATTCCAACTTCTGACAATTCACGATATATTAATTATCATGATAAAGTCTATTCTGTAGGTGTCAAACGACATCACCTTTGGTGCTGGCAAATTATTCAGTAACTTATTATGTGAACAATGTACTCAGCAACAGTGACGATAATGCTGATGGAAGACCACCGAAGTATTGTAAATACCAATGCCTGAATAGTTTTAGGCGCCACTTCAGTACAAAAGTAGTAAACGGAAATGAAGTGTCATTTCGAGGAGACAGATATAACGAGAAATAAATAACATGATGAGTAGTACAATGTGTCATTTTAATCAAACTTAAGTGTATATGTAAAAATAAAAAAAAGTACGAAATGATGAGTTGTATGAAAAGTGTATCTAATCAATCCTTTCCCAAAGAACATACACTTTTAATACACTGTGAACTGATGACTTCTACCACCAGACTAACTGTGAATAACAAAAGATAAAGTCTCTCAGAAATTAAGACGAAATTACAACTCCTTAGTCAATCAAGCTACTAACTCTCTCTCTCTTATTGAATATTCTGATAAAATTCGCAATTTATCACGGTGTAGTTCTTCAAAAATCCAGGGAGATGGAGAGGAGAGCAATCATCCTTTTGACTACTACAACTCTTAGACAATAATGCTTTAATCTAAATAGTTTCTTCTCTATACTTGCTATGCTAAACTCACCTTTTTGATGTAATGTTAATCCAGATATTACTTGTTTCGCTTCATTACGTATACTTGATATAACATTCGGACAAGCAATATGAATTGGCAGTAGACACAAACGATTCAGTAAGCCAACTTCCATATCGAATAATTCCACCTCTAATAAAGGACTGCAACACGGTGGTCTAGGAAATTTTAAAGCACAAAATCCTAAACGGAATGCTAATTCAATATCAATACACTTCCATGTATCGAAAGATTTAATGAAGTAGGCATTTCTGTCCTCTGTTTGACGATTGTGATCATTAGTGCTGTTAGTATTGCAACCATTAGTATTACTGTTGGTATAAGCTTCGTTATTATCATTATTATGGTTATTACTATTATCAGTATTATTAGCAGCAGTAGCAGTTGCTCTCAGGTTATTATAATTAATACTGCTTGGAGTTTCAAAACGTGTCGGTTTTGTATAAAGTCCACGTAGAGTTTGTTTAATATTAAAAGTATTTCCATTGATTGAAGAACTAGGTGTATTAGAGACAAATTCATCGTGTGAACGAGAAAGACATTCCATGACACAGCGAATTTGATCCAACCAACGAATAGCCTGTACAAAGTAACATTTTGGTTGCAAAGAAACAAAAAAATAAACAATAACGAAATACTTATGACTGTAAGAAGAATGAGATAAACGTTTATCGTTCATTGTCATGTTAAATCATCTGCCATTATACTTCCCGGTGTACACACAAACTGAACCACTGGCTAAAATAATTAGACAATTTCTAAATTACTCAAAATGAAGATAACTATTGGGCGGTCTACACTTCTTTATATGGACTTATTCACTGGTGTTCTTATTTGCCACAGACATCACTAGATTTTCGACCAATTCCCCCACCCCCCCTCACAAGCTATTCATCTGAAGGAGGAGTTTCCTGCATACTTGATTGGATAGTCGTTCAACAAGTGTATCAGACATCTTGTACACTAGAACTACTACAAATTCATGATAACCGTACAGATCAACTTATCTTCAGGCGCAGAAATATATGAATAATGTAGATGCACACTACGGTGACTGGTTTCAAAAACTTAACAAAAACAAGCGAATATTTACTTCTCCTTCTTTTTGTAGAAATACTCGCAACACTCTGTAGAAAGTGACAGAGTGAAATACAAAGAAGTGGGCGCACGCGTCCCTCAACGGATGTAAACATCATAAACAGTACGAGTCAATGAATGTATAGGAAGCTTTCTTCATCTGCGTATTATGGGAAATAACGTGAATTGAAATGAGTAAAACCAGTTGCAAACAACTCTTCATAGTAGTAGTAGTAGTGTAACGGATATAGTTCCCTAACACCTTGACCTTACAGCATATGCTACCCATGACAAAAAAACTATGACATTAGATAAGGACAATAAAGAAACACATATAAGCTTGCTAAGGCTTAAAATTGCTTCAAAAACAACTCGCGAAGGCATATTGCCTAAGAGTGCGTCATTATTCATCGATGAGAACAACCATCTGTCAATCGATAAAAAAGCGAACTAACTAGAGAGATGATTAACCATGTTTATTACAATGAATAAGAAAAATTAAACACCAATAATAAAAACACCTTTCAACTAACCATATGACCTTGTAAAACTTAAGGTTAGATAGGTCAACAGGTAGAATAGGCGATTTTGCTTACCTCTGTTACTCAATAATATTTATTAAATTCAATAGAATTGTCTAATCATTAAAACCCCATAAACTGAATATATTCTTGATGAGAATTTGGTAAATCCCAAAAGAGTTCAGTTGACCAAACTGGTCGTTTTCATCATAAAATATGAAACTTGAAAAACAATTATAGCCAAACCAAAGGTAGCATGATACATCATACTACTATATACAGTGGAAAAACAAACCTAACAGTAAAACTACATAAATTCCTTAATATCACACCGTACTACTACCACCAATTGTGGCATCACACGATGAGTTACCCACTTAATCCGGACGAAGAACCTCCTAGGATAGAACACTATCCTTCATCAACTCTATATGGGTTATTATTCGTTAGGAAGTTATACTGACAATTATATTGTTAATAATAGGACTGAAATAGCCATTCGAAGGTGGATATTGGTAAGCTTTGCTCCAACCAATATCCGACATCAAATTACAGTGAGTAGTAGGTGTCGTATCACAACTTCGCATTCATCTTGTACACCTATAATCGATAGACTACAATCGGTACTTAGGATGACAAAGTTGAACTATTTACCGTAAAAAATGACTAATTCTATAGGATTTTTTAAACCCGGGGGTTAAGATTTTGTGCTTCTGGTTAAAAACAAAAAACTCGGGTTGCAGATACGCCTTACTGATGAGTGCCAACTAGCATGAAACCTAGGTCCAAGGCTTCCTGTTGATTGCCTCCAACCATCTAATAGCAACTCAGGATAGTGTTATTGAGCTTAATAGTTATACTGAAAACTTAATCGATATGTTCATGTTAGTACTGGAAAGCAAGATATGATATGCAATACTTTTCAATGACAAATACCCATAAATAAATAAATCGCCTTTCAGCTGTAAGCTTAACAGTATGAGCTATACGATGACGTTGTGAGATGACAGGGAAAGGTTGTCTAGTAAATCAATAGATTCTCAAACAAACCATCAGCTGTCTGCTTGAATCACTGGGCTATCTGAATCGACATTCAGCTCAATGCACCATATTTTCCTTAATTCTTATTTTACGAGTTGATCACGGATTGATATCAGTTAGAGAACCATTGAAACTGATATCAATCCGTGATCAACTCGTAAAACATAACTAATCCTTACAAACCAAAACTATAGAAAGTTAATTCTTATTGTTTTAACCTATCAAATCAGCTGTTTTTCAGCCACAAAATATACTTACTCACGTACATTTGTGATTGGCTTTCAAACTATTGGTGTGCATTACTCGGAGATGAGAGAATGGGGTCTATGCTTTAAACAGAACAACACTGTCACATGATATACTACTACAGACTGTGGTTTTACTTGAAATCACTGCATAAAGGAGAAATATTGCGTCGGTGGCATAGCGGTTAGGAAGCTCGCCGACCATGCACATGGTCCGGAGTTCGATCCCCGGCCGACTCACTTCTTTACCTCGCTGAGCCAGAAATAATTCTGGTAAACAGGAAAGGTTGGGCATGAGGTTAGCAACCCCATCCTGTAAAATTAACACCATTGCTACAGAAACTTCAAGCCACTAGCTTGAAGCCCTATGTTCCACTGGGGAACGTGAAGGAAAAAAAAGGGGAAATATTATGCAAAACATTACGCTGAAAAATTCTGTACACTGTGTAGACATTTTCTACAAAATAAAGCTATTATTATTATTATTAAAAACTCCCCACTAATTATGAAAATAACGTAAAGTTTTGAATATTGAGCAATCAGCGTAAATCATATGCTCACGTGGTTTCCGTTCCACAACTTATATTTAAATGCTCTGTTTAGCGCTTGAATGTTCAAGTATGTTTACCCGTTCATCACTAACTTCAAATTGCCTGAAGTTATTTAAATCATTCTTGAAAATTAAAGAAAATAGTTCATTTGTATTATCGTCAAGAGTAGAAAGAGAACCTTCGTGAGTTCTTTTAACAATAGTAACGAATTAAATGACCAAGCAGTTTTCATAAATTAGAAGTCGATAAGGAATTTTGTGCGAGTACTCACTTATAGATTATTATATTTACTACTTTTCAATTAAGTAGTACAGTGAAGGAAAGGAAAACACTTAAGACAAAATATCTTTTCCCTTAGCTACCTTGAGTTAGATTTTATAAATATCTTACCATATTTTTAGTATATATATATATATAACATATATATATATATATAGAGAGAGAGAGAGAAGTGGAAAAAACGAACAAAGAATACCAGTGAAAAAGCAAAATAAACACGTCTGGTAAAATATAAAACTAAAACATTGAAAGTATACCTTTGCAGTATATTCAATTGATAAGTTATTATATAATGGATGCAGTTTAATTGAACTGGCATATTTTTCTGTAGTTTCACGATTACTGTTCACATTATTTAAAAAAGTGGTAACCTTTTTAGAACGTGAATTTCGTGCATTTTTTCGTGTATTTGAACTATTTCCCACGGGTATGCCACCACTACCCCCAGCAGCACCGCTAGACCCAGCAATCAATGAATTTGTTGATGTTGACTTCTGTTGGTTATTTGACTGGAAGTTGTTATTAGGATATGATTCATGCATATGACTGCTTGGTTCACCCATTTGTGAATTAATATTATTATTATTATTACTATTTCGATTTGATGAATGTACTGAATTACTTTGAGACACAGTTTGATATTTAATTCTGCCAACAATTTCAAATGATATTTGTTCACATTCATTAATAAATTCATTACTTGTATATAATAACAAAAGCGCTAAATATCTTGCCCATTGTAAAGCTTGTTCAGTATATCCATGTGCATCGAATGCTTGAAATCTTGAAAAAGCGAACTATACATAGATAGGGGAGGGGGAAAAAGAGGGGGAAAATATGTATCATTAATCATTACAAAAGGCTAATGTTGTCTTTTATTGACTGATTCATTCATTCACCTATATAAATAAAATATGACACCAGTGAAGTTGTGTGCCTTATACGTATCAGGTCCTCAACTCGAAACCACTCAGTCACGTCATCTCAAATCCCATTCCACTTACTGAAGTCTGTACAACCAGCCAGCATCAGCAGTAGCCGTATCACAACAGATGAAGCTTATTGCCAGTTGAATAGAAATGCAAATGGGTGTGTTGTTGGATAATATTTCTCCTTTTCTTATCAAAGTGACTAGAATAATAATAAATCGCAACGAGTAAGATGCATTTTAATGAAGACATTGACTACCACTATAGTTGTTAAACTGCTACCATCAGATAGATAAGTGATGAAAATGTTTTGCAGCCTCGAAAATAATGAAATAATATATGCATCTGTGTGATTTAGAAAATCTTAGAACAGTGTCTCACTGACAGACTATGACCTTCTCATTTTAACAGGTAGTATAAATTAGAAGAACATTTTGATTTTGTTACATGAACATGAAAAATGTAAAAATGGACTCTACGAAATAAAGGCGACAGAAACTTTTACCTACGAAATGAACGAGAAAAAAATTGAAACTATATTTTTATTTCAAAACTGATCAAGAACTGACTTAGGTTAGAGAGCCATTAAAAACCAGGAACTACTGGGGAGCTATTCCGCCCTTGTTTGTGAGTCTCCAATAGTACGTACTCATGACACCACCAGGGATCCAACCCAGCACATTCCGATTGCAAGGCGAGTAAGTAGACCATTTTAGCTACCGGTGTAAAGAAGAAAAGACTGATTAAGCTCCAAGGTCATATTTATCAAGACAAACGCATTGTATGCACATAGATTTTGCACAACTTACCTTTTTAAGTCTTCGTTTGCACATCATTTGCATATTTTCAACTTCATTCTGTAGTCAGTCAGTCACTTAAGAACACTAGGCAGATGTTCAAAGACGTTGGTTTGCAAGGATTCAACTAATTTTAGGACAGATCAAGAGCCAGCTTCAGTTAGAGGACCATTGAAAACCAGAGAGCATTGCTCATTCATGACTCCCCTTCAACTCAGATTTAACTATATATATATATATATATATATATATTTTAAACATTAATATGGAACCAATCTGATATTCGCTAGTTAGTGGTTACAGGAGGTAGTTACCTGGAGTTCTAGGGAGTTGTGACCAGTAGGGACGACCCATAGATGGCTGGTGCGAATTGTGCTAAAATCACGAATTGGTAGAAGTCAGAATTCATTGGCTGGCCATTTAGTTGGGTCCCAGTGGCTGAATGATCTACGAACATGGTTTGTAAATGGAGGGTCCTGGCTTCGAACCCCAATGGCTACGTATTCCAGACGAGTCCTGAAATAGGCTGAAACAGCTGTCTGGTACTCCCCGATTTTCAGTGGTTCACTAACTGACTTCAATACATCGCCAAACTTGAATATACACTTATTTAAATGTACTCAGACTCTCGTATACTGATCTTTTCGAATTGCTTTAGCTTTCTACAACTTTTTTAGCTTACGTTTGTTTATCTCTTATTATACTTACAGAAATGATATAATGACAACTTGTTGGGATTCAGTTACCCGAAACAGATTTACCATGAATAGGTTATGGAGCCAGGCTTATTATGTGAAAGCTGATGGAGTTATCCAGTTGCCTTCCCGCCGCCCCCCGGGGGGGGTTGAGTAGGTGGAAAGGTATATGAACCTAGGACCCAATAACCAATGAGCCACACATATCTACTGATGATAAATTAACGTGTGACAGACTCCTTTTTAAAGCTAAATTATCAAATCACTTAGGCAAGAAAGCATTTAATTTAAGCAGGATATTAGATATCTGTGTGATTACAGCAAACGCTAACCGAGTTATTAACGTAATACAAACAATAATTATCAAAACACATAAAAATGTAAGTTAACAAACTACAACGTAGTGGATTAATCATGACAATGTTAAATACATGTAAAAATATCAGATTTATTTACTTTAATCTTAAGTGGAACAACATGAATGTGAATTTGAAAAAAAAAAAAAAGGAAACAGGAACAAGACAAAAAACCTTTTAAAGTATGCAACAAAACGAACAAATTTATTTTAACAGCAATTAACAAGTATTCGAAAGTATGTATTACGCAATACGTATGTTTCGAAACACATGTAGCTAGCTTCTAGTAAGTCTGCTTGTCAGTACAGTAAATAATGTTACAACACATTTATCCGAGGCAGATACAGAGACACATTTGTTGTGTCAACTTAGCTTCCGGAACAGGTGCTTCATATTCAAGGCAATGAACAACATTTCTTGTCTGATGGCTGGCGATACCACCCAACTGTCCAGGATGAAGTAGGTGGAGCGGGATAAGAATCCTGGAGCCACTTCCATATAGATTTGTTATGTGAAGACTAATGATACTAACCGGTTGTCCATGTTAAGATAAGTGGAATGGGATACGAATTTACAATTAATGTGAATAATAACAAGTCAGTAAGTTATAATCTAAGCCAATGAAACAGTTCACTTGACAAGTGTATACAGAAATAATACAGCGTTCACACAATAAGAAACAATATTTACGTATTGTTTAGAAGAACTTTAACCTTGGAGGTGCGATTTTACACTAGGTATCATCACAATTAGTGCAATTTCATGAGGAAGCACCAATTCAACTATGCCAGTACGGCGTACATTGACTCAATGTAACAAGCGCAAATACTTCGCTTGAGATAATTACTTCATCCCTACTAAATTAAGAAACTTAGCAATTTTATTTTCACTTAAAAACACTCTATTCTACAAGAAAACACTCAAATTCACAATAGTATAAAAGATATCTCAAAAAAAGTGTAATTTCTACTTTCAACTGAGTAGCATTTGTGTGACAGATACCAAATATCACTTATGATTATAATAATTATTGTTCCTATTGAGTTCCTAGCGAAACATAGAGCTTCAACACCATATCTCTACTTTGTTCTATTCCCTGAGGTCCTCTCTAGATAGTTACACGATTCGCCATAATCTGTAGTCTCCAAAGTGTCACCCTCGGATCACATCCCGACTTGTCATTTCCCCATTCGGATTCCTTTCGAGTGATAGCCTATTGCGGGATATTATCCGACGGTCTCCCCGACATGTGTCAAATCCATCTCCATTTTCCTCGGCATATTTCTTGAGTAATATGTTCTTGGTTGGTTCGTTCCCAGAGTTTCTTATCTCCAATTCTTGCTAGACATCTGATTTTCAGTGTGGTGTTACAGAAGGTAACTGTTGGTAAAGTCCGCAGTAGCCTGTTCCAAATCCTTACGATGAAGCGCCAAGTTCTTGAACCATATTGATTTAACTGACTTAACATTGGTGTTCAAAATCCCAATTTTCTTCTTTATGCTAAGTGCAGAGTGATTTCGCAGTGATGAAGGTCTTCCTTACCCTTCCGATTCTGGTTTTGACATCCTCATCTTAACGGCGTGCCTGTAGTTGGAACAATGGTGCCTAGATGTATTCTGTTAACTGTGATTGGTGCTTCTTTTTATCATCGGTTGGTTACCTTCATCACCTCCGCCTTTTCCATGTTTATTTGAAGTCCTGTCTTTGCTAACCAACTCTTCTGCCAACTTGTTGATTTTCGTCTGCAAAATGCAGATTTTCTACAGTTTTCTTATTGGTACAAAGTACTCCTGTCTTCTCGTTGCCATGCTTGGTGTCCCGCATAATCTAGTCCACCTTAATGACGAATATCCTCAGTGTTAGTGATCACTCTTGTATTCATTCCAAAGGCTTCACTGACTTTTCTGTTGTGGATCACCCAACATGTAGCATTGTCATATAGCTGTTGAATGGGGCTGATAAAGATTTGAGGCACTGCACTCCATAGTGTTGAAGTAGTTTCGAAGTTACTTCACGGTCAACCCCATCGAAGACCTCTTCATAATGCTTTGTTCGATGACGATGCGTGAAGTTGATATTTGATGCGCATACGATTTCCTTTTCTGAATCTAGTGCATCTTTTATTCTTTCCAGGATGACACAACTTATTATTTTGCTTGGCGTGAACTGAAGCATGATTCCGCACTAGTCCTTGCAGAGGCTTAAGTTGTCCTTCTTTTGGTAGTTTGACAAGGTAGTCTTCCTAAATATCACTTGATTACTCGAAAATCAATCAGTGAAGCAGCAGGTTTCACGCTTTCCGTCTACAGATTACCTGATACTTATCACTTATTATGATCACACACATGTTAAGCAAAGAAATATATGTAAAAGTAATTTTGTAGGAATTCGATTTGTTACACGTTTGACAATGGAGTACTGGACAACTATTTCGTCCTAGTATCGGACCCATCATCAGTACGCACCCACTAGGGATTCGAGCACACAATTACTTATTAAACACCAAACACTTTACCTCAATATGATTAGCAGGTAATGGGAGGTTATTGAATAATTGTGAATTTATCTGATCCATATTCCAATAGTTGTCCAATTCAATCGGAGAATAGTGTTTCATTGAATCAAAGTAATTTCTTGAAAATGTTAAGATAACATTTGCATAATCCGTGATTTCAGAATCGCTAGTAACATGTGCTCCATAAAACGATGGCATAACTAGAAAAGAACAAATAAATAAATGCAGCAATAGAATAATTTTGGTGATTACACAACAACGCATTGGAAACAACAATTGATGGGTTATATACGTCAAAACCAAGTTCAGTTTTAAAAACTTTTTGGACATTGGGTATATGATATTCGTTATTATAAAAGTTCTTGTATTTTCCAATGAATGAAAAACGAAATGGTGATGATTTTACTGACGTTTCGCTATTTAATGCTAATAGCTTTATCAAAGTATTATTAAAGCAGAATTTACAAAATCTCAGCTTATATATAGCAACTTAATCATCGTTCCTCAGCGTGAGGTCATTTTTGCGTTGTCAAGTTGGCCAACTGATAGGCATTATAAATATCTCAACAACAGAAAAGCCTCGATCACTACTTCCGGATATGGTATCATCACCATCATCATTATAAGGATGAATTTGAATGTCATTTTACAAATATACAAAAGTGTGAAATATCTTCAGACTACATAATTTACTTCTGAGATATTGCATTCACCAAGTTGACTGTTTTATGTGTTGTGTTCATATTATTCTTCTACCGGTCAAGTATGGTATGATTTAACACTTAACATTTACTTAAGCTAATCTATTTTTCGTGCGCTGGTTGAATGGCAGAATGCTTGAGAATCAGGCGAGTGGTCTTTGATCACAGATGTCTCCGTTCTTTCTTCCATTTTACGTGGTATACTCGGAGGAATAATATGAAGGCCAGGCATCGAGTGTTAAGCAAGAAGAGAAAGTCAATCGACCAGGTTGTGAAGCTACATCGATTGACATGGCTACGACCTGTGCTACACATCCCCAGCCATCAGCCTTCCTCAACACCTAATGTTAGCTGACATACAATCAGACTGGAAAAGACCTAGTGATGGTCACATCAAAAAAGTGGAATCAGTCCATCAAATCGTTAATAGTACGTTTTGAACCACGTAGGGAGGTGAATACTAACTGCTTAGCTGGGGTCCTCGGGATCCTAAGAACCAATGAAGTCTGGAGACAATTGGCGATATGGTTCCAACTCATCGTTCTCAATGGCACAGATGCATCCACTCCTTGTGACTTATCCAATAAAACTATATTGTTCTTCGATGTTACTATTCTTTTTGCCTCGTATTTCTGTTTATCTCTGTTTTGAATCTCTTTTTACTTTCTTCTCTGGCTTTGTGTGCTAAGTGAAGTGTGGGAACTCGAACTGCTACGCATCCGGGGAAATTTCTACGTTGAAAGCAGTCAATAGCTGCCACCCAGCCATCAAATTTACAACTGACAGGAAATCTCATTTCTGGACGTCCGACTAACAAAGGAGACTGATAAGACTCAAAAGAGATCAATATATCAAAAGCCTACGTGGAACGGCCAGCTGACAAACATTTACTGTTGGGTACCCATCAATCGCAAGTGGAACCTGATAATATCTATTGCGACTGGTATCCGTAAAATATGCAGCCCCGAATTAGTAGGAGATCATTCTCTTGCGGAAGACAACACTTGAGAATGGCTATCCACCACATTTTATAGATAACTGCATAGAGCTGAAAATCAACAAAGAACAACCCATCTCTGTGCCAAAGATGCTATACATCAAGGTAGCGTTCTGCCTGACATCCTAAAGGGAAGAATACCTAACACCTGAAAAGAACATTCACTGCTGCTACATTACGACTGGTATTCTCAAATCGTCCATCCCTCTTCAATAAATCCACAGATAAACTATCGCATTTGACCACTTCTATGTGTATCTACAAATTTACTAGATCTGGTGCCACAGGATGTATACGTTGGTCAATGCATGTTTAATCTAAAACAGACAAAAGGCATTATCCCACATGCCTACGAAAAGGTAACAGGGGATCGATAAATAGTGCTATAATTAAACATATAATCAACACTTGTCACTCAATATGCAAGGAGAATTCATTAAGAGTCAAAAGAAGCCTCCCGAAAACGGTAAGCTTCCGTATACTTTGCATTGCCATGGCCTCAGAGATCCGGATAGAAAACCCTGATTTATGTACACAGAAGAAACTTCTCTGCCCTCTCCTTCTGGCTTGAATATAATTTCAAGTTCTACTAATTTATTAATAAGGCTTTTTTGAATGTTTGCATGACTTTTTGGTAACATCTTTGTCCCTTAACCAACCCTTTATTTACTCTTTATACCTATTACGTAATTTATTCTGGACATTTGTCTCCATTAACATCCTATTTCATATTACGTCACCTTTGTCAATACTTACCAATCTTCACCCGCCCCTAGTTACAATTTTGATTATTCATCACATTTTAGAGACATTTTGGTGACGTAAACAGTAACCCTAACTAATTTTTATTTCTGTTTGACACACACACACACACACACATGAAATAATTATATATAGGTGGGATTGTACGGCTAAGTGACGGAATTCGCCGAAAAGAGACTTTTCCCTAAACTTTATTGTTCCTTAAATAAATAGTGGTTAATATTGCATATTTATATATGTATATATTTTTAGTGTATGAGTATATTGATCGATTGATTTTTGTTTAAACTGAACTCTGTGCAAGTATGTTAAAATTGCTGTTGTAGATATATTTAATAATGTCTTTGCCATGTAAGCAGCTGACGAGAAGGCAATGAAATAAAAGATGGTACCATTTTATTCTGCTAAAACTGTAGTTGTTGCTTTGTTCAAATAAACTTACACTTGAAAAATTCTGTGGCACAAAGACCATATGTTGGAGGAACTTCTGATGACCAAGAAAGTCTAAAAAATATAAAGAATTAAAAGTAAAAGTGGATTGTAGGAAAACTAAATATAAATATCTCATTCCAACAAAATACGGATTAAACACCTACGACCTTTTTTCAAAACCACTCATGCATTAAGTAAGAATGATAATGATAATAATAATAGCCAAAAGAAAAAGAAAGGATTTCTTATGATAATGTTAACGTAAACAGCTATTTTAACACATTATTATCATTACTGTCTTCAATTAAATAATTGAGGTTGGATAACGTCTTTTAGACGAACAATTCTTACAATACAAATAATGTCCATGACTTTTAAAAAAGATAATGCCTAAAGACTGTTTATAATGAGTATGTTTGCCGACAAACAGTAGACTTGTTTACGGTACTACTTAAATCCACGAAAAATAAATTGATAACAGAAAAACTATATGTACTCTATACACGCACGCACACACATATAGATTATTACATATATCTGCATATTAATTCACATAAGGGTATTACCAATAAATAGGTTAACAGGAGAAAATATGTTGAATAAGAAAAACTCCAAAATCTTTAGAATGATATTTTTCATGTGTCGGTTTCGGGTATGTTAGATTTTAGAACATCGTCTAGCCACCCCCCCTCCCTTCTTCAGATACTAATACGACACTCAGTCGTACCCTTCAAAGATAACGGTTATGTGTTCGTTCAACTATCCAAACTTATTCCACTTCAATTGTAATTCAGTTAATACTCCATGCTGACATAAATAACAATCAATTGTGTAATAAAGAACATTCTTTCCTATAATTTCGTCATCAACTTCTACATTTGTCTGACAGTAACGATTAAAGAAGGATTATTATCAATTAACAACATTAATGCTGCTTTAAATTACATTCAAACCATTCAATAGTATCGACAGGTGATTACATTTCAAGAGCATCAGTAAGAGAGATAATAGGCTATATATCAGATAAATTAAGGGAAGTAATAGAGAATTTATAAATTTATACGTTCAACAATTGATAGGTGATGATATACTAAATGAAATAATAACCAACAAGTTCAGAGAATCAATTCAAAGAACGTTTACTGCCGGCAAGCTGCAGCTTACATTCTCCACACAACCGTTGTGAATCCCAACTCAAAGATGAAGTATCTAGGCTATCCACCTCCCATTCTATCTATCAATTCAATTGCTCCTGTGGAATCAGTTAGATTGCCCATTGCTCTAGGAATCTTATTTTTCGTGCTCCGGATGGTTTTTGAAAGGTCAATACTACTCGTTTAATGTTATCTAAAATATTGATATTAGTAACAATATTCTTTAAATTGTTATGGTCATATAAATGTAGAACCTGATGACGAATTTATCGAAAAGAATAGTCGTTGTCCACCAACTAGACCTATAAATTTTCAATGGGTACTTTCATTGAATCATATAATACATATATACTTCAGTCACCTTAGATAACGAAGGTTTATAACCTGACCTATTCATATTCTTTTGTAACATCTAACCTGGACCACAAACAATAACGTCGAAAACTAATACACCGTGCTTCTAAAGAAAACAATGAATAGACGCTTTCTGAAACTATATAATACAACAAATGTGTAGGACAGTTCAACATGTAGCTAATGTATTGAGCCAAATAAGAAGGTACAGACGGCATGATTCAGGTCCTGAAGGCGCTAAGATTCAATGCTTGAAAACTGTTTGTGACATGCGCCTCAAGATAATTCTAAATGCCACAGACTCATTTTAATCTTTGTGATCTTTTAATGGATTGGCCATACTCTGAGAAAACCATCAAGTGAGTGACATCACACTTCAGGCCGTCACTCAAGTGGAACCTAAATGGGGAGCGGCAAGTTGGTCGTCAGTGCGAGGGTGACATGGAGGAGGTAATGCGAAGAGGGGATGAAAGTATGTGGGCAGACGCGAAGCCAGGTGAAAATGCTGGTGGAGAAGTGAATGTAACGGAGACGTGCGACTGAGGCCCTATGTTCCTCTAGGAACTAAAGAAGACAATAATACATAATAATAACAAACCCTCATTACTCTTCGTATTACTATACTTCCAGTTACACATCTCTGTTTATTGTAATTCCACTGCATTTCTTCTCACTACCATTGTGTGTACTTTTATGCAATTATGCTAACTTGAACTTGTGCGTCGGTGGCACAGTGGTTAGGACTGTCGCCGACCATGCATATGGTCTGAGGTTCGAGCCCACGCCGACGCACACCTGATATCTATGGTCGGCCTGCGAAATTCGGGCTACCGATATCCACGCTGAAAATTCCATACGTGTACCAAAAATACGGTGTGGAATCAAGCTGTAATCAAAAAATAAAATAAATAAAAATTAATACTGAACTTTGATGCAAAGTTGTACGTCAAAAGTCCAACTGAGTACAGTTCAATAGATATATTTATTTATTCATTAAAAAATACCCTATAATTACATTATATTTAATTAAGGAAATAATCTATGAAATAGAAAGATTTTCCCTTCTCTTATTTTCCTCTATCATTAACTTTAAAAAATCACCTAAACAGTAATGAGATATAAAATGTACACACTGTTACTAATAGATATATAATAAACAAACTACTAGTATTTCATTCATTATGTGCAAAAGTAATAGATATTTAACAAAAGTAAATTACCTGCAAGCTGAAAGAGCTGGCATAAATCCACTAAATAAGGAAACATTTTTCGGGATATAATCTGAACTATCTTGATCAGGCAAAATATCATTGGGAAATAAAGAACCACCTAGTGTATTACACCAAAACATTGTCACTACATTTTTATCACCAGATGTTGTAGAATTCAACTGATAATCAGCTTGTGTTAAAGCGAATACATGAAATGCTTGTAGTCTATGGGCAATCTGTTGTAATAGCCAACTATTACCTGAATACGATTTACAATTCGAGCTAGAAAATAAACCATGTCCAAATGACGAGGAGGAGGAGGATGGTGAAGGGGATAAAGGTTTATTATTAGCATGGCTTAAAATTGGTCGAAGTTCAGGATTTAAACAAGCCAATCTCCAAAGTTGAACAATTTCTTCGCATAACCATAAAGCACCACATTGGGTTTGTTTTTGACGAACAGATAAAGTTTCAGGAAAATGACACGGGTTAGTTTGAACAGTACACCACCAAAACATGACCTTTAACGATAACAAAAAAAGGAGAAATATAACAAATTTTTACACATAATTCATTCATTCATAAATCACTTAGTCGTATATAGTTCAATAATCACATGCACGTATTTATGCATTACCATACTTTCTACGCATTACTTGTCTTATCTGCATTTCATCATGTTTATTCACTCATTATTTTATTTCTAAAAGTAGCTGCAACGAAATCCAGCAACTTAGCCTAATAAACTACGGTTTAAGAAAAAAAAATACCTATTTTCAGTTGAACAAATTTTTCCCACCTAATTCACAACCGTCGAGGGGAAGAATAAATACGTAGCACTTTGAATAATTTAACAATTAATGATGGAGATCTGCTTAAATCACTGGGATAACAAAATTTTCCATCCGTAAAAATGTATCACGTCTACTCTGTTTCACATTGTTTTAATGATCTAATTACTACAATGACACACAGTTAATACTCGTGCACAATTTCAAATAAGTTTTTAACTACCACACCAGGAATTTTCCGACAAAAATGGAGTAAGGACAATGTGAAGCAGTACCGGAAAAAGCTTCGGGTGACAAAAATATTGCTCCGGAGGATAAATTATCGATTACTATATTTTCTATAGTTATTATTTACTATATTATTTGGAGATTCTGCACAAGGCGTAAATACCTTGCAATGAAAGTTGCTGGAGATTATGTACTGTGTATAAAAACATTTTTCAGAATAAAGCTATTATTATTACTATTATTTAAAAAACCAGATGGCACACTTTAAAAAGATATTATATGAATCCTTTTCAACAAGCTTAATAACTTAGAAATACTGGGCGCCTACAATAGAACGCAACGATTAATCATATAGATGGTAAGTACTTCGAGATATTGAAAATAAGCGATTCAACATTTCGAAAGCTATTCCTAACAATCAATAAAATAACTGAAGAGGAGGATATAGCTGGAAATTTCATTAGAATTTTATTAATAAATATATTAGTTTATCGAAATTCTCTCAAGAGAATAACAGAACTTAATCGCAGCGATTATGATATCGATAAAAGGAAAGAAATACTTAAAATACTCACGCAATTAAGTCAGTAAATACAAAATAATAATGTATAATAAATGTCTTTAGTTAACAACTGTTGTCATCTCTTCATATCTGTGATTTCCCCTTGGTATATATATATATATATATACTCAACGAAGAGGAGGTAAATTCAACTGATGAGTTCAAAGAAGGAAGAAATGTACAACCTCGATCCCATTACTAGCTACCAACACAAACATATGACCTCGAATTGTAGTAGACTTCGAAATTCAATTTTATGACATTAACACCTATTAAGTACTTGACTCCAAAATTTGACAGATGGGACAGGGAGACTAAGAAAGTAAACTGTTTAAGTAATTGCTGTTTATTAGAGGAAGTTTAAAGACGAACTCAACAGTAAGACTAATCATAAACGAGGCATGAACATTTACCAAAAATATGAACACAAGGTTCTTTTGTTGTGTAGAAGGCCAATTAGCTCATGTAAAAACTACGTCACGCGACAGCTAGAAAATGGTAGTCTCCAGAGATCGATTTGCGGAAAGCTTACATGGCGTGGACACTACTTACATTTTAATGGTTTTTGTCCAAATAGCTATAAACCAGCACTAGTAACAACTCTGTTTTATAGATTCAGGGAATATGCTCAACAGAAAAATTAGAGGGGGAAATTCTGATTCTCAAACGGATATTGGAAAACAGCGGTTACCCTCAGAAACTCATTAACTAGTACAGAAGATGTGAAGGACTAAATGACAAACGAACCACAGTGAGAAAATGCCTATCTTTATTCAACTCGATTATGGATAAGATTTTATATTGATAAATCTCACACAGTGTTGTACGGTAATATTAACTGATGACGTTTCGAGCACAAGCTATCGCTCATAATCATATCATATACATGAACTTGATATGATTATGAGCAATAGTTTGTGCTCGAAACGTCATCAGTTAATATTACTGTATAACACTGTGTGATTTTTCAAAATAAAATCTTATCCATAATGGAGTTATGCTCTACCACAGTGCCCAAGTTTTATACTTATATCAATAATTCATTCAACTCGACTTTAAAAGGAACAATATTGCAGGAATAGTTAACCGAAGGTTGCATACGTCACTAACCACAGCCTACCCTGCAGCTAAGTTGATTCCTGCTTGTCAGAAATGCTCTTTGGAGCAATCAAAAATTGAAAGATGTCCTTCACATGTTAACTCTTTGTATAGAAATTTACATGTACTGGGATAGCAGAAAGAAGGGTATACCTCCGATGTACCAAAAAGCCTACGTCTCAAGGAAGCAAATGCTCACAATAGTGCCATTGCCAGACAACTCATCAATACCCATCGTGTACTACACATCACGAAATCCTCTAAAACTGTCAGCAGACAAGTGTGTCTAAACAACCCCTATCAAATGCATGAAAGCTGATTTATGTGTTCAGAAGGAAGCAGTTATCAGTCCTTCCTTGCCTTGGTGGTAACTGCATGTCTTTATTCTCTCTTCCATTTAATTATATAATCTTTGGCTGGAACCTCTCCCCTTCCCTTTGATATAGTGGTGTAACTTCACTGGTCTCTTGTTTCTATTATATGGGTTGGACACACTACATTATTACTCAGTTTATTAATCAATCAACAACTTACCCACCTCTTCTCTTCATTACGTCACTCCTTCACCACTGTATGCAAACATTTATTTTTGTTAAACTCGGGCTCTCTGGGTGAAAACTATAGAAGTGTGATTTCCTGAGCACCGTTTATTTAGTTTAGAGTCTCCTGTCAACTGACATCATGCAACATTTAAAAGTACGTTAAAATTGTTCTGTACATAAACTTAATAATTTCTTTAGGCTGTACGCAGTTGTTAACAAGCCAACGAAGCAAATGACTGTACCAACATATTCTACACAAACTGTTGTCCTTGATTTATTTATTCGATTATAGTATAAGCATTAGGCTGATGGACAGAGGGACAATAAACTTCCTCACCATCTTATGGCTTAATAGGTACATAAAAATATCATATGAAAAAGTGCAGACTAGGAGAAAAGCAGTAACTGTACAAAGAGTTCCTAAGTCAATAATTCTACCATTCACCTTACCAATATGAGTGATCAATACTCATACTCTTACATTCAATCATGCAGTTAAACGAAAAAATCACACAGTCACCTTAGCAACAATAAAAACAACAAATCTGATACACCTTAGTAAGCATTTCCCATATGAGGATAACATAGAAAGTATATGAAAAACTATTTTTGTATAGACCTCAGCAGAAATTGAAATAAGTAAATTCTAACGTTTCGTTCGGAGAAACTGGTCCGAAAGTCTTCAGGGAAATGATCAAAAATAGAATAACGCAAGGTAAATATATTACTTATTTCAATTTCATTTAGACTTCTACAAATATAGTCTTCTTAGGTATCTGTGCTTTCTACTAACCAGTCAAATCTTAATGACAGAAGGAAAACGGATTTAATTTTAAAAATGCCGCAATATTATATTCGTAGAGTAATGAATTAACTGAATTACCTCAATCATGTCTAAAATACAGCGTGTAACAATTTCTAGAAGTAAAACAGCATTATTATCTTGTCGTTTCATCATATTTCCAATAAATGATAATAAATCCCATAGCCCACGTGGTTCACTAGATCGACGTGACTGAAGTATACAACGGAAATTCTCCATCTCTGCGGGTAAATTAAAACTCAATGATCCAATATCACTGTAGAGTACAGGTCTTGGAGCCCAAAATCTACGCAGGGTAACTCTTAACTTTTCTTCTAATACACCACCATCGAAACACCATGCTGCAGCATCACCTAATGCACCACCAAGAGTTGGGTCTATCATTTTTAAAAAGTTGTAAGAACAAAAACAAAAATTGCATACACTACAGTTATCTTGTGATTTTTACAACACTTAAAAGTTAAACATACAAATAAATGGGTGTCTGTGACATAAATCTACCACAACAGATTTCACAAGCTACAAGTTCTTTTGTATCATGTAGATTGAAAAGTTAGCTAGACTGTGAGTGCACGTGAGCTCAGGCTAACAATTTCATATATAATAACTACGTACAAATGGACATTATCACGCTATCATTCTTTAATTGGAACCAATCCGTATTACAAGTTACTTTTTATGCCACAATCAACAATTCAACAAAAGAAAACAACAGTTGGTGAGTAAATAACATTCAGTGAATACAATTCACATCACTCTTGGGACTGTATGATGAAGTATACAGTGCAGAATCAATAAAATCTCATCTTTCAACTACATCTGCATATTGACAGATGTCTGGTGCAAAACACATCCATAAACTGGTTGAAATGCACACCAGTTACTGGTAACCCAGTGGTAGATAAGTGCAACAGATCCCTTTGCCTATATAAAACTATCGCCTCACTGTATAGACAATTTCTATCATAATAATAAAATGAAATATTTGTGCATTGATAAACTGATTGACTGAAGATAACGCACCAACATTCCCTTATTGTAACAATACGAATTAAACAAAAGCGTAACTCTGTTGTTCTCCTCAAAGTTGAGTAGTGAAACAATTATACAACAACTCACCAGGTGCTCCAGCAGAATTCTTAATAGGATTATTTGTACCTGTTAATAACTGGTCGAGTATGCGTTGTGCAGCTGGTAAAATCTGTTCATCATTCATAAGAGAGAAAAAAGAAGGGATAAAATGCAATTCGTATATTGAATAGTAACCTTTCATTTCATATTCATTTTTATACAAAAATTACAAACCATGCAAAACACGTATGTGAGACAAACAAGTTGAAACTATCGTCAAAAGGTAAGAGAAGTTGACAATTTCATAGAATTCAGTGTTATAATGAATGCCAACAAATAATAGATAAAAAAGTATGTACTAAAATTACTGAAACCATGAAGCTGTGTAAGCAGTTAGTTTACAATTCAAGGTAATAAAACCCTGTCTGTGTATTTTCGACATAGAACTTTGCACATATGTGTGGCAGTCCAAGTTGCCACACTCCCTCCTTGTAGCACACAAGGCAAGAGAAGAAAGTAGAAGAAATGCATAATAGGGACAGTAGACACGGATATGAAACAAAAGGAATAGCAATAACGAAAAACAATATAGTTTCATTGGAAATCATAAGTCACAAGGAGTGGATGCATCTGTACCAGCAATTGACAACGACTTTCAGCCATATCACTAGTCGTCTCCAGCCATTGGTATTTACCGTCCCGAGGACTCCAGCCAGTCAGGAAGTCTACATCTTCCTACGTGGCTTAAACTAACTGTTGTGGATTTCATTGAACGATGAAGCCATGTTTTGGTTCTACCACCGCTAGCTCTCTTCCAACCTGACCCTATGTCAGCTAACATTGCCCACTATCGAGAAAGGTGATGGCTGGGCTAGAATGCATAACACAAGCCCTAGCCATCTCAATCGATGTAGATTCATAGCCTCGTCGATCGATTTCCCTCCCACCTACCTAGCACTCGACGCCTAACCACAATATTGCTCACCTTATTGTACCACCTCACACAGGAGACAGAACGCAGGCACCTATGATCAAAAACAGCTAGTCAAGCTGTTCATGTCTTTCAAGATCAATGTCGAGGTCTCGCTCACAGCCATGAAGGAGGACGGAGCGGACTGCTGAGCAGTACACACGTCCTTTGGTCGACAGCCGGCTGGGTATCATGTATACGCCAGAGACAGCGTAAACTGGCATGTGCGAAACGAGCCTTCTGTGTCCGTGCTGAGATTTCGTCAGCGATGAACCCACTGGTACTGGCTAATGTAACTTCCCAAATAAGTGAAGTGTGAACACGCTCTACAATTTCAATCCTGCCTATCTCTTAGCTAGAAGTCAATGTAGTCCAGTCCTGAAGCATCATCTTACATTTGTCGGGAGCAAATCGCATGTCAAACATTCGTAGATTGCAAAAGACTCTGCATTTTGTCAGCGTATTCACCCAGGTGAGAAGATTATATCATATGCACATTCTAAGTCAATCAGATTATTCTCTGGTAACAAGTCAATCTGTAAATCGCTGAAGTTAGTTAGGGTTAAGTCCACTAGTGCATCAACGATGAAAATGAATAGAAATGGTGATAGTGGGCATCCCTGACGAACACCACTAGTTGTCACCATTTCACATGACAATCCCTGTAAGCTTTGATTGACTGCATCAGTTGAAGTAGAGTAGAGCGACTTGATCAATGCAATGTATTTTCTCGGTATTCCCATTACAACCAAACATCGCCATAGTACCTCTCGGTCCACGGCATCGAATGTCGCTTTCAGGTCAAGAAATATAACGACTGTCGGAAGCAGGTAAGTATGCCTGTGTCCCAGAATCTGTCGAAGACTGAATATTATTTATTTATTTATTTATTTTTTGATTACAGCTTGATTCCACACCGTATTTTTGGTACACGTATGGAATTTTCAGCGTGGATATCGGTAGCCCAAATTTCGCAGGCCGACCATGGATACCGGGTGTGCGTCGGCGTGGGCTCGAACCCCGGACCATGTGAATGATCGGTGAGAGTCCTAACCACTGTGCCACCGACGCATATGATCAATACACCCTCTTCCTGGTCTAAAGCCTGCCGCCTGGTTCTCTCGTGTTTGTGCCTCCCGAGCACCGCTTAGTCTATGCATGATTATTGGGCCTAGAAATTTAGATACTATATTAGTCAAGCTAATCCCTCTGTGATTATCACAGGAAGACTTGTCTCCCTTCTTGTATATGGGGATAATCAGTGACTTACACCAACCCGACGGGACTTCCTCTGATTCCCAGACACTGCCCAGTACCGCAGTTAATGCAGACAGTAAGCTGTCTCCACTGTACTTAAATACCTCTGGAGTCATTCCATTAAGTCCTGCTGCTTTGCCTTTTTTCAGATTAGTGACAGCTTTAGTGGCCATAGTTAGGACGGAGGACCTGTGTCTATATCCCATTCAGGGAGGTGTTGGATGTTCGGCGGGTTGAACTTGCGGCTTGAAAGAATACTCCGCTAAACACCACTGGATTTTTGCGAGCTCCTTGCAACTCCTAGATAAACGCCAATCCATTCCAGCTGGCAGCGGATACAACAATAAGCGAAAGGCGCTCACGCGCAAGATAAGACAGTGTTTACGTAAGGACCACGAAGCCTGGGTGTGAGATGGAGTCAGCTGCTGCATCTGGCAACAGTTGGAAGCTGTTCCAACTCATCCGAGCCACCGGCAGTAAGAAACAAGGTGTCAGCGAGACAGTCTGTGAGGTAGATGGCACGCCAATTACCAGCATGAAAAGACGCCTGGAACACTGGGCAGAGCACTTCGGGAAACAGTTTAGCTGGCCACCAGCTTCAGTGTCTGCTGTCATTAGCCCCAGTGCTCTTTGGTCGGTGAGTACCGACTCATTCACCGAAGCATGGTCCGTAAGGAACTCCAAGTGTTAAAACGCCGTAAGGCGCCTGACCCAGACTATCTACCCCCGGCTCTTTTTAGAGATGGTGGCGAGACTCTCACAATGGCTCTAACTGGGTTGTTCAGGAAGTTATGGGAGACAGAAAGTATACCATCAATGTGGAACGAAGCCATTATTGTCCCCATCTTTAAAAAGAGTCGACGTAATTCATGTGACAATCCTAGGAGTATCAGTCTGCTACCAGTTGCGTCTAAAATATTGGCTGCTGTCTTGCTTCGCAGGCTGTGCAAAATATGTGAGGGTTGATTCGCGAAGAGCAGGCTGGGTTTCGTTCAGGTCGTGGATGCATTGATCATGTGTTCACCCTTCGTCAGTTGTTGGAACACCGCCACACGTATTGCAGGCCAAGGATCGTTGTGTTTCTTGATATTAGGGCTGCCTTCGATTTGTTTAACAGAATTGTGCTCTGGAACTATCTGTTAGAGAGGGTTGTGCCTGAGAAATTTGTAAACATCTTGAAAGCCCCATACAGAAACACCTCAGGTAGAGTGAGGGCATACAACCAACTATCACCACTGTTCCCAACCAACAGTGGAGTTAGACAGGGTTGCCCTATCTCTCCATTTCTCTTTAACTTTGCCATCGATGACATTCTGGAGTCAGCTCTGAAGGATGTGCATGAAGGTGGTGTAGATATGCTACCTGGAGATAGACTTTTCGACCTAGAGTATGCAGACGATATCGTCTTACTGTACGATAGCATGCAGGCTGTCCAAATCGCACTTAATCAGTTGGCGATCAGTGTCTGTGAGTATGGTATGTACTTTGCGCCGTCTAAGTGCAAAGTACTGTTACAAGATTGGTACTCACTCCTGCCGGTGAACCGCTTGAAGTTGTTGATAAGTTTGTGTATCTGGGTAGTTGTGTGAGTGCTGGCAGAGGAGTGACGGATGGGATTTCCAACCGCATAATGAAGGCTAGGCTAGGGTGGCATACATCAACTTCAGCCACCTCTGGCGCCGTCGCGACGTTAGCCTGGCTGTCAAAGGTCGGGCATACAATGCTTCGGTGCGGACTGTCTCGCTCTACGCCTGTGAAACCTGGCCTCTCCGGGCTGAGGATGTGCGGTGACTCTGCGTGTTCGATCATCGCTGTCTCCGCAGGATTGCTTACGTTCGACAGATGGGATCATCGCGTGAGTAATTCTGAGGTTCGGAGGCGTGTGTTTAAACATAGTGGAGATCACCATTCATTGAGTGTCATCATCTGGAAACACCGGCTCCGGTGGCCTGGATATGTGCTGCGAATATCATCCCACAGGCTTCCGTACAGGTCTCTGTTCGCTAGCCCTGGGACGGGATGGAAAAGGCGCAGGGGTGGTCAGTCCACGACGTGGCGTCGTGAGATGAAGGATTTTTGTGCTAGATTAGCATCACTTGGTGTGTCACGACTCCCTGGTTGGGGTCCGAGAGATAGCTCAAATCGATGGCTCGAAACGTTATCGACTATGGCTAAGGATCGCAATCAATGGTAAACGTGTTGCAATTTCCTTCTTTCTTCCATTCCCGATGATAGTTAACGAATACTGTTTGAACTTGTTAAGCATGACTGTTTTCCTTCCTGATGGAGTTCTTTATCCGTTCTCTACTTATAGTTTTTACTTATGATCTATGTTGTTTTATTATTACTGTGTGGTGCATCTTTCTTGGTGCCATATTGTACCAAGTTTCTTCTGCGTTTAAATAAAATAAAATAAAAATCCCTGATAAGCCTAAATAGTTGTCTGGTGTTACCAATCCCCGATGCCTTTTCATTCTCTTCCGCTTTTCTCGCCCACCACTGTTCACGGTCGTTACGAAGACTTCTTGTTAGTTTCCGTTTGAGTAGCTTTCGCTACTCATCATAATCGGAGGTCGCCGGAATCAGTCTTGCGTCAATCAGTTCATATGAGGCGGTAGAGATCCAATGGCTAACTTTTGGCTTCAGGTTATTAAGCGCTCTTACAGCTGTGTCTACAGCTAACTGTATGTTGTGCCAGGCTACCTCAGGGGAAGTCCTGCTGTCGACCTCAGATACACATTTCGCTATTTTTTCCTTAAATAGGGACTCAGAGTCTCGGTCTATTTGGGGACATAACTGTTGGCTGCCAGCAATTTCTTATGTCCGTTTAGTCGGAACCATAAACGTGCGCGGATCAGAGCGTGATCGGAGTCTACGCACGTATATATATATATATATATATATATATATATATATATATATATATATATAGTACTAAATGTGTTTAATGAGTCTTGATTTTCAGGGGTTCGGATCGATAGCTGCTGTCTTGATGTGGTAGTTTCCGGACGAGCTACACTGGCTGGAACGAATATTTCTTAAGGTCTTACTATACCAAAAAGACTGTATGGATAGCTGTCAGACTAAAAGCAGTTAATGTCGTGATGTGAGTCGTTTATACTATATTAGGGCTTTAGAGTGAAGTCGTTTTGCTGGTTAGTAAGGATGTGACAGCAGCTACGCGTCCCCCTCCCAGACGACCAGCAAACCAAATATGCTACCCTTCAGAGCTCTGGATATGGGGCCAGAAAAGGTCGAGCCTGAAAATTGTATATCCTGACTTAACGCTGGCTACAGACCGCTGTAGAGTAAGATTTGCACACTGGTGCAACACCAGTAACCACCAAATAGATTATGTGTAACCAACCTCAAGCTTTTTTCGGTTGGGCTTTGTGGTCCCGCAACATTAATGCTCTTTTTATTACGTGTATTTTACAAAGAAATCAAATTTCGTGGTACGGGTAGCGGGAAAATGATAATCAGTTATACACTTCCATGAGCGCACAAACATTTCCTGATCATCTTGCTTTCCTCCTACTGGTGATACTACTGTACAGGCAGATTCTTCACCTCCTTTTAACTTAGTGACCATTAGTGGCCACTTGAGACAAAAAAACATTACTCTTAGTCTGTTAAATCCACGTTGACAACTTCCTGTTGGAGTACTCCAAGTCTGGACCTTATGCAGAATCGGACAAAAGGGATAACTAGTCAGAACTCTGGCATCTTAAGCTGTGGATGTTTGCTGAGTCTCAGAGACATTCATGGACTGAGATGGCTAGGACACGTATTACACCTACCAAGCCATTGACTTTCACATCAGATCGCATCGGAAAAGAGATAGGGGTGGTCAGATCAAAAACAATGCATCATTCCATGAAGTTTTCGACTGTTGGTTTTAGTCATGTGGAGAGAGATAAAGTCTGTCTGGGGTTTTACAGTCACTAAGAAACAATAACTAGAGACTGTTGGTGACTTGACTCAGGACAGTTCTCAACAGTGTGAACCCATTCATTCTTTCTAGTCCAACAGATCCTTTAAATCCTCATTATTCTACATGAAATTACTTCATCTCCCACGCATTTCTGTTTAATACAGGTTCTTTGTACTTCTTTTTTCTCTACCTTGGCAGGGAAATTGAATCGCTGCACTTTAGTGAAAAGTTCTTTGTTGAAAATTTCACTTCCGCTCATTTTAAAATGTTATTAAACGTATTTCCGTTTGCAGAAAAATACAACCTTTCTAAATCACTCTATTTTGGTTTGTTTTCTTTTTCCATTCCGTTGTGAAAGGTGCATACTGGTGGGAGGTCCTATGTAACTTTTTTCTTCGTTGCGCGGGCCACATGAATGCTAACGAAGATTTATTTTTTTAGAAATTTTTAGAAAACGTTAAACATTTCTGCTTAGACGTACACAACAGATTCAAATTTGATAAATAAACAATAAACTAACCTTTCTAGGTCCAACATGACAGATTAAATTTTGAGCAAACTTCTGTAAATCTTCTCTACTTAATTTTGACAGAGACTCTGATATTGGGGCACGTAATAAAACTTTTTCAGGCTGCCGAATACGCATTAAGCATGTCGCAACAACATGAGAACACCATGTACCGGTGGGATTTTGCCCATTTGTAGGCATCAAATCACCATGCACATTATTTTGATTAGCAATATGTTGATTATACAACCATGAACGACGACTATTTGGAGAAATTTGATTCGGTGCATTCTTCAGCAAATTATTTCTCATAAGATAACTATTCGGTTGGTCGGGCATTTGACGTGAGTTAGTATGACAATTTGCGAAGACTGATTCATTTCTAGACCCAAATTGCCATAGCATTCCTGAATTAGACTCTGTGGTATTCATTGGCCTATAGGCAAAAGAATTTGGTTTCATAGAATTTCTAACTGAAGACAATGGAATATTCTCCATTGACCCTGAATTGACTACATTATTTTCACCTGTATTTGAAGGTGATGCTACTGCTGTACACCTTTCTTCTAAATCAAATGTACACGTACATGAACACGAAGTTATTCGTTGTCGATCAAAAGTTAATGAAACACGATGAGCAGGATAATCAGGCTCTATATTGAATCCACGTTTTCGCATTCTGCTAGTGCTATTATTATTATTGTTATTAGTATTATTCGTAACATTTTCATTGGTACCCCCAGCATTATCATGATTTGATTGTAAACGATGTCCATCATTCGGATAGAAGTTGATAACATAAGGATTAAAATAATCTGCAGAACTAGGATTTACAGTACCATTCTCTTCGTTACTTGTTGGAGGCACATACGCAGGTGCGATATGAAGACTCGTTAAGACAGTTGCACTTAGATGAAATCCTATAGAAAGAAAAACAATAGAAATAACAGAATACATTCAATATAAGTGGAATTCTAAGAAATTATCCTGTAAAGCACTACCGTTTTTGTATTCACTACATGTCACAACCAGTTAAAAATAGGTACATACTCTACTGAATGGAATCCATTAGGGAAGATGAAAACAGTGTGAATAGACCTGAATACAGTGTAAGATTAGTTGACAACGGTTGGTAAATATTCCATCAGTGTTCCCCCGATCGATTTCATGTTTCGTTTACATTAAAGTAGACGTTCAGCGTGATATATCACTGGCCAGGATCCAGTAATCAATCCAACCAGCACACCAACTCACCCCTTAGAACCGAATTTTACTTTGTAGTGTGAAGATTATAAACATGAGGTTACTTGCATATGTGAGATTTCCATAAAATATCATGTGACAACCCAATATATATATATATATATATATATATATATATATCACGCTCCAATAAAATCAAACTTAGGGTTTAACTCCTTTGCATACTTGATTTGAATCGCCTAAGAGTAACTTACTAAAAATAATGTAATTTTGCTTGAATTTTAAGTCCTGAAAGGCAAGCTGAACAAATAGTACAAACGCTCAGTAATAATCAACTTCTAACCTCAGAAAATCTAGTTCCCAAGACATATACCAGAAATATTCCACACAAAAAGACTTTATTTTCATTTGTGCAATCAGTAGAAATTCAAATAAATCAATGTATCGACAGCCTCAGCTATGTGGAAATCTAAGTTACAGTACTCAGTATTGAGTAAATAAAAAATGACTTGAATTCTGAGTCTATTAAATAATAAGCAAAGAAGTGCTACAACACAAAAAACAACCATAAGTACAATAGGTTTTGGTTTGTGTACACATTTGAGTACACATAACATTTTACACGGCACTATGAACACACCACAAAATTGTTAAAGATATCCAGTTTTCTTAGTCTATAATTCCATGGTTTATAACTGCCAGATTATCAACAAAAAACTTAATACGATTGTTGCAGTCTACTGCACAAAAACAAACAAATTGCATCTCAGGATAGCTTACTTTGTCCTAAGAGTGTGGCAGTGAACTTCATTTTAGAAATTCAACTATTACTGAGGTACTGAAAGAAAATCCTAGCCATTACACACAAAAAGATATTATCCCTGAGGACAATAAAAAATCAACTAACCTATCTGAACACATTCTTTTACAGCTCTGTCTAGCCATAACGCTTCACCTTGGTTGAATTCGTATGAGCCACCACTGCTAAGACAAGAATATAACCATATATCGTCTTCATCAGTAGGAAAACTATGAAAAGCTATAAGTCTTTGTAATTCTTCCGGTACAGTGACTGGACTAGACTCAACAACTTCGAATGGAAAATGCAGAGCGATTGTTTTAGCTGTGAGGACGAGTAGTGACTCCGGTGAGTTGAAATGCTTGCCTGCAAAATAAAAGTATCAGTCAACAAGTAAGATATTAACAAGACATTGATATGACATCCATTAAAGTAATAGGATAGATAACTGAATACAGCAAAAATAATAATTCATAACCTGTAAATATCTAGGTTTTATGTCAAATTAAAATGAAAACCAAGGATATTTGGTGAAAACAACTAATCGATTACCGCACTTTTAACCTTATAAACCGCATTATGACTATTGCGTAAAGTGATGTAGTGACACTTCAATCAAACATACGTTATTTATTTCGAGTTGCTGCCTTCCTCAACAAGTAATATTAGCTGAAGTAGATTCATAAAGTAGGACAGCCAAGAGTGGTCCGACACGAATCCATGACGTATTTGGCTGCTGGTCTGATCTATATACAGAGTTATGGTCAACTTGTTTAGGATCACTGAGTATCAGCAGTTATAAAGGATGTGATTCAAAGCCGCTCAAGGTTGCATCGATGGGCTAACTAGTCATTTCTGAAACCAAATGGCATATATATATAATACATTTTCTGTACTAACTTATCCCACTGTAATACTATCTTAGTCTTATACTCTTTTTGTGAGCTGTTTTGAAGTGTGATGACTTGAAACGGTGAGTTTCTACGCGAATTCCTAAGTTCATCTGTCAGTCAAGTATAGTGAATAGCCCGTAGTAATGAACAGAAGTAGTAAATGACAATATTATTATGAGTAAAGTTCTATTTTTTCTTTGAATGAACTCAAAATTTACTAGTCTGCACGATACCTTAAGCTCATATAACCAAGCAGTGGTTGTAATATTACATGTAAATTATAACGTAGTGTATTAACATATTTGCAACTATTCAATTTTACATGAATATTTAGAGGACATCTCTATACATACAGAAGAGTCCTTAAGAATTTCTCCTCAGGACAGACTCAACAGTAAATCTTATTTTAACATTGAATATTCATATGCCGAAAAGTGAGACAAGGAATATAATAGAAGTAAAATGTGATCTCTAAGCAACCCCACTTCTGAGATCTTACAACATTGGTTTACATTTATGTTCACTAGTGTGGAGAACAGCTGCATTTAATGAGAACTTTCAGTTCCTGGCATAATGCTGAAACTTTGGCACACTGTGTATGATTGAATATTTTCAAGAAATATTTGAACTAGCTTCACGTAGCGAGGTAGGAGGAATGAGATATTTCAAAGGTTGGTACTGAGGTTTTGCTTGCTTTCATTCAAATGACACCTGACAGAATAAAGGCAAAACTAAAACTACTAGGGTAGTATAATATCTGCTTTATTTGTTAACTGTTATACATAGAATATCGCAGAGAAAACGATTACGCAGCTACCTATCTTCCTTTTGGAAGCTCAAAGCTTACAGCTTTTTTCATACACGTCCATGACCTTAGGTAGTAGTCCTAAGTATGATAGAAAATAAAACCTGAAGCATAAATAGCACCACAAACAAAGATCGACCTGCGGATTCTCAATGAATATAGAGTCAAACTATCTTATAAGCTACTAAGCATATAACCAAGAGACAACGACGATTCCAAGCTTCCAAAAACAAAATTTCGGGATGGAAACATTTGATCAATAAATTAACTTACGGCTATAGTCCTCTTCTTTTTCATAAATATTTGGCTTCGTCAATCCTCTGAATGTGAAATCCAAATCGAACTCGCTACTAGGAGTGTATATGGAGAAGTCTATGTCACTTTCAACGTCATTAGTCGTTCGGGCTGATGAATAAGAGCTCATTGTTTCTGTCTTAGGACAGATAAACCGGTGACACAGTAGAATCAGAAATGAACAGCCACGAAGTCAGTGATCACGTATTCATGCCTAAAGTGCACGCAAAAACCACAGGTAACATTTGCATTTCTTAAACAAAAACATAAGTGTATAAAGTAAACACAAAGGCATGTCTGTCTGTCCTTTGTCGACATAGAACTTCGCACAAATGTGCGGAAGTTCAAGTCGCCACACTCCGTGTAGCACGCGAAGCAAGAGAAGAAAGTACAAGAAAAGCATGATAGAGACAGTGAGCAGAGGTGTGAGACAAAGGAGTAATAACGAAGAACCAAACAGTTTCATTGGAGATCATAAGTCACAAGGAGTGGATGCATCTGCGCCACTGAGAACGATTTTCAGTGGCGTATATTAGGTGATTTCCTCAGCTACATTTCAAGGACTTTAGAGGAACATATCTAATTAATTAAGACCAAGAATTCAAACTTTGATATCATTGATCCAGTTACACCATTTAAATTTCAAAGACAAAGATTTAAAATCCTCGCTTAAATATCCCAACCCCATTACTCGGAATAATATATCAAAAACTTCATAAAATTGAAGTTAAATCTAGACATTCTAATCATTGGACTGCAAGTTAACGCAAGTGGGAACGCACCTAAATGCTCAGAACTAAGTAGCGTCACTAGCTCTGTATGCAATTTTACATTGACTCACCATTGTTACTGAAAATTAACAAGCACTGTTATTTGACCCCATATACTTATAACCTTAGGGCACGCGCTGTCAGTAAAATTTGGAGTCTTTCCAAGAATAGCAATCTACTGATTTACATCTATTTTTTAGTAGTAAGTAACTATGATGGACAATAAACTTTAAAATTTAGGTCTGGGCAATCTCAAATTCCAGCCATCAAACAACCTCAGTATATGACAGAAGTAATTTGGGTGCAGTCACATAGTCTTCATTGTCTTCCATAAACTACAGATTTTCATATAAAAGCACTAGAAGAAATTAAGCGAAAGCCCAAAATATACAAGAAGTCCTTTAGAACTTTTAGGTACAGGACATACTCCCTGACATGTTTGAAGATAAGTTAGGACTTCACAAAGAAGCACTAAACATACCCCCAAATATACTTAACATTTTCCGTGTTAAGTGGCCTAGATGATTATAGAACTTTTTATCCTGAAACCGACCTCCGAAATCCATATCGTAAAATCTGAAGTCATATGTTTCATAAAAAGCAATGTGCATATAACTCTACAGAATTAGTTGGATAGTCTGTAAGCCTTTAGGTTTTTAATTGGATCCAATATTGAACATGACGGCAGAAGCTAAGACAAATAATTGGTTGCCTCAAGTGACTGCGAGCAGGATGCAGACGCTTCGGGTAGGAGAGATGTACAATTATGGGGCGCACCCGGTTTATGAAACATATTTGATCCATGTTGTCACCACAAGAGTATCTACAGTGTGGCCGATGTTTTCGAAGACTGAATACATTTGTATGGACTTTCAATATTGCAGTATGCAAATGATGTAAACATATTTATAAAGTTATCATTCTCCATAGTTTACGAACAAAAACGAACCTAAAAATTCTAAAATTAGAGTCTGCAGTGCGCGCAATACTATTCCTAGGTGTGGCACATTCAGGGAAATTGGAAGCAACAAATCTGATTTGTTGAAACATTTTCTAAAAGTCAATTTACCAAGATTTTGAAACACAAGAGAACAGTAACAATATTTGGGCTTCTGGGTGCACTTATGGGTCAGAATGTGCAATCAGAGTTAAAAAATAGTAGAGGAAGTGGAACAATGAATTGTTTTGTACTAACCTATCAGTCTGAAGTTAAACCTTGTCCAAAAAATGCAACACAGCAGCGTGAGTTGAAACCTTAATTCCACAGTAGGAAACTAATGTTTAAAATAACCACTGCGGAAACTATGACCTTGATATTTACCTTGTCGTAAACGATACGAATTCCAGGTAATCATATGAACAAAGTGAATTTAATAAATGGTTCTCAAAGTTCCGAACAGATGTTAATTCACTCCACTGTTTAGCGTCTTCCAAAACTAAATGCAGCAATTTCTCGGAATGAATGCGCATTCTTTCATGAAGGGTTCATTCGCCAATGGAACAGACGGTAAACTTTGTTCTTGATGAAATTCGGTTACACTGTACCGACAACACATTGATTAATAAACAAATAACTTCCTTTCCACAAAGTTGAAAGGAACAATCATGTCTTAATACTTCCCTATTTGACAACATTCAAGTGGTGGAACTGCCATCACAAAGATTGAAACCTAACTTTTTACGCAGACATCTTACTTAATCTGCCGTAGGTCAAAGATATTCGGGTTTCGGTCAGAGAGCCCCAGAAAGCGCGAACCATATTCTTAATAATGCTTATCACTATCAGTGTAATCTTTAGTTTTCACTACTTGAACACTGTTAAAGTGTCATTCTCAAAACAGCAAACTAAAAGGCAAGGACTAAGTCCCACTTAGACTATCAGAAGTGGAATTTTTAAGCCATGTAACAATTCACTTCACCTTATATTTTCAAAAGTGGATTACGTGATAGTGAGACAAAAGCTATACTTTCTGACGGATTTTATCTAACCCTTTAGCTATGTACAATATCACAAATGCGACGAAGTAAAGACCAAGAGACTTGTATTGCACACTAAAACACAATTATTAATTAATCTTCAACATTCGCAGATGTTTTTACGTTTAATGCCTTGTCTGTAGATAAGTGAGCTCCTTATTTTGAGAATTTGACCTGATGTATAAAACGATCAGCTTTGCAGCTTCCACAAGTGCAGCAGACATTAGAAAATACTGTAACACTGTGGCTGCCCGATATCTTGGAATTTGCATCATATTTAATTACGTTAAATACCTGCCAAACTAAAGAACTATCTTCAGTAAGTTACATGAAGAAGACCTTTCGAAAGCTAAACGCGAATCTTGTGTGCGTTAAACTGGCAGCGTCTTATTACCAAGTCCTTTATAGAGTCGTCTGTAGTTGTATGTTATTTGAAGCCAATTTAATTAAATGATTATCAGCTTTGGCTGATGGTTTGCCAACGTAATCTAAGCTGTCGAGTGAATCGGAGGACTTTAAGCAATCATCCACACAGAGGTAATAGTCGAACACTTAGAAGAGATTACGTGAACCAAGGCTCAGACGATGCAAAGCTAGAACAGGCCTAAGGAGTCTTCCTGCAGGGGGTCAAAATAATTCCTGCATTCGACTGAACCTCTGCCATTTCGCCTTCAGTGGTCGGTGTGTTTGACTGTACTGGGTGAATCACATTTCGGATAACTGTAGTTTCTAGGGACAACAAAGTGACAGCTGCGTCGTGGTGTTTCTGGGGCATGGTAAGTTAGGCGACTTTCCAATGTTTAAACTACGCTTGTCTAATTTCAGGTTGGCCACATAGTGTGCAGGGATGGGTTGCCCAGGGTGATGCAGCGGATGACCAATAGGAAAACCCTTCCCCCTTCACTTAATTGTATCATGATTGGTTGTAAATACAATCCTTAACCTTGAGTCTTCATCCTTACTATCACGCTAGACTTGTGCGGTCACCCTGCTAGCATGCGCTTTGCTATCTGTTTGGGATCATTCTTCGACGATCGGGATTACAATGTGATTGTATGGCCTTTTACTATCTTTATAAGTACATTCTAGGACAGTCGTAAGTATTGCATGCTCACGTGACTAGTTAGGGTATTATTCATAGTAGCCTGTTAGTTTGGTGAACTGAACCAGACCGAAAAGTCATAATTTAGTCTGGCTGAGCCTAAACGAGTCGGCATAGAGGGCTACACAACAACCATGAGCGCTAATTCTGGTTGAAGCCAACTAGATATGGGATCAAAGTAGTTGAAGCAGCCTAACTGACTGGCTTCCTTTAAAACCACTTGGCGGGAGAAATTCTGTTCTCTATCTCAGCAATGTTTCATATGCGCCACCATCCAACCGTAAATTCTTTGATGAAGGTACTTTCAATGTCTGCGTTACATATTAGCTTGATTCGTTATATATTTCTATATTTGCTGTTAGACTCGCGCAAGTGTTTCGCCGGTTCCATGACTGTAACCAATAACTCTTTCACTAATAAGCGTTTGTTAATCATATAAAAAAGCTACCAACTTAGTCACCTGTTGACCTGATGACTGATAGCACATATTTGCGTGCAACAACGAGCGACGCAACTCCCAAAAATATGGAAGTGAGACACAGCTTGCCAATACTCTGAAAGCGTCGAGCTGCTGTGTTACTACCATCTACTGTGGCTGGGACTGACAGCAAAAATATGTTGACAGCTAGTAATAGCATCGCACCTGGTCCTAATGTAACAACAGAAGACAAGGGCCAGGCAACATATCGTTTTATTACGAAAATCAACACGTATTTATATATATTTCACATACATTATTATAGCTTATGCAAGTAGACAAGCACAGTAATCTGATTGGTTGTTTATCAGAAGTTAAGCAGACAAATGCAGGCTTCTGATTGGTTGTTTCGGGATTCCTCGAAAAATAGAGTTTTCTATCTGCGAATCATATTTTGCCACGTTAAGTCTGCTGTGATTGGTTGTTGAATCAGCCTTGTACATATTTTCTCACGGCCTGCTCTCACCACACTAACAGAGACCTCTTCACTTCACTTTATGTACGTATCACAAAACTTCAGATACCAAGTCCCGCTTCAACACTTATTTTAGAAATAAAACGACCGTAGAAGAGCTGAAGACTGAGATGCGGGATATAAGGTGTGGTAAGGATATGAATGCAGGATGTTCAGAAAATTTGGCCAGCATATCTGAGCTATCAACACAGATTAGTGACATGAAATCTCAGGTTTCCGAACTTACACCTCTGGGCATCCTGACCAGAACCATAAACCCTGGCAAAGTTGATAGAGAATCGGTAACTAAGGAAGATATTCTGATAAACTTCATCACAACAGAGGTTATCAAGAGACTAGATACTAAACTGAGTGCGATAATCTATAATACACCGGATAATGAGGGGTGGAAAAAGGTTAAGAGAATCTTATTTCGAGAAGCGAAAGTGTCTGACTCCCAAACAAAGTGTCACAGACTGAAAAAGAGTCAGCACGACCACTGCTGCCCTATACGCCTTCAGTTTGAAACGCAGAGAGAGACTAAGAAATTCACGACGTATCCTACTGTGGTGATAGCAGGCTGCTAGCCAAATTGATAGATATTAATTTACGTCAATGTTTATGTCCCAAATATTAGTCGTGAGAAAATATGAACAAAGACTGATTCAACAAACAACCACAGCAGACTTTGCATAGGCGGATACAGTTAACATATGGATGATATGACATTCCAGAGACAGTCACAAAAAGATGCAAGGTTAACTTTCTGTGAGAAACAACCAACCAGAAGACTGTGTTTTTCCTCTAACAATAATCTATAAAATGTACATGAAAATCTATAAATACGTGTTGATTTCCTTAATAAACGATCTGTTGCCTGCCTCTTGCCTTCAGTCGTTACACCAGTGCAGGTCGTGAGCTGCAAACAAATAAAAGTTGTAGCAGATAAGACAGTGATTGAAAGACGTGCTTACAATCACTTCACCAAACCTAATGGTAAGAAAGGCAAGACACTGTAAGTCACCAAAATAGAAAACCCCTACCCAACAAAATAGAACTCACAGTCTCCCCCTCCCAAATCTTACAAAAGTAGCTTCAGAGAACAGGATACCAACCAAAACACTTGTGAATTATAATCTTACTCTTAAATTAACCCCTTCACCATCTACCATGGATCTAGATATGTCTCTAGGTAGCCCCATACAGAAATCAATGTCTCTCGTAAGTCGACAATATCCTCTCCTAGCCAAAACGTGAGAATTCAAATGGAAGTAGGTAACAAACATGCTGAAATACGCCACTTGTAACGAAAAATCCTTAACATTTTCAAATTACTAGGAAGAATCCATGCTGTCAGGGAAATGAAACACAAAGTAGTACCAACAACCACATCAAAAGCAGAAATAACATCATGCGGTTCATGCACAATAACGAAAGAACGTGCTCGCTTACTAAGTCACACTGGTAGCTGGTGTAACGACACCATCGCGTAAAATAGTCCGAGTGGCAACACTCAGAGCTCAGCCGCCAACCACTCTGGGTCTTCAAAAGATGACACACAAACTTCGACAGAATATGCGGAACAAGTCTGCCGGGAATCAAAGCACAGTGCTGCAGTGCGTATAATGAAACCCATGTAAGGACACTTAAAATGTCTCCAAACAATAGGCAGATTGATCAACTATGGACGTCACAAGGTAACAGCGATTTTTTATCCATCACATCCCTGTCAGCACTAACCAAACAACTGGTGGGGCGTTAACTCTTTTGAACCCGTACCACCAATGTCGGCTCCCTATCGGGAAGAAAACAGACGCAGTCTGGTGTGCACGGAATTAACAATCACATCCACTCCTTGTACAGGCATAGGCCGAATAAGAACTCCCACCGAAGACTTGAACTACCTCATCCTATAGTAAATCCAATGACAAAACTCATTATTCACTAAAAGAAGTGGATAGTAACTCGGTAGACATAGGTGAACATGGTACCCAAACTAACTGCAACACAGGGTTGTTATGCCATGGAGAACCAGTGGATGCTGATCCACACTTCAGCCCGATTGACGAGCTTAAATACTTGAAACACTACTTCAACTCTCAATTTTAATTAATCCTTATTGATGCTAGATCCATCCTAAACAAACTACCGATGCTCAGGACACACACGCTGGTATATAAACCCCCAACAATCATTATTACTGAATCCTGGTGTCACTCCAATGCGCCGGATGAAGAGATCAGCATCGATGGCTACGAACACTTTCGATGTGACAGGATCAGTGGTAAGGTTGGAGGCTGCATAATGT